TATATTTTCTAATGTTATTGTTAGTTTGACTGCATAATCTGATTTTATACTAATAATGGAACAAAGTGATGCCTGGTTCATATAAGCCATAGTTTCTTCATTAATTGGAGAGTGGTATGAACAGATTTTTCTGAAAAAAATGTATCATACACAAGCTCAAATTGTTTTACAAGAGCTTTCTGTTGCTTTAGTGGCTAGCAGCACCTGTTCAACATTGTCTGTATTCAAAAAAAAAAAAAAAAGTAAGTAGGATTTGGACCTGGTTAGTAATTGAACAGGAGATCATGAGGGAATTCCAGGGTTCTAGGCTAACCTTACTTAAAGATCTCAGAAATCATTAGTGATAAATCACTTAGGTACTTTGGGCAAAAAAACTGCATGAATATGTTCATGTGGTCACCAAGAGGTGGGATCAATTCAATTTACTTTACCACATCTGCATAGTATTAGGCAGCAGTGAATTTGTTAACTCAGCACTGGAAAAGATTAATTCAGTCTTGTTGACAAAAGTAAGTGCTAAGGCAGAAACAACCTGCCATTGCTAGCAACAACTAACAGAGAGTCCAAAGGATGGACCAATGGGGTGGCATCTTTAGAAGTGGTACCTTTAGAAGATGTTACAGATGCTGTGCTATTTTGCAGCCGAATCCTAACAAAGGGCTTGCCTCAACACTTTTACATACAAAATATATCAACAAAACCCTCCTCCCTCTTGCCCTAAATATTTGTATTTTTTATAGACATCAATATTTTCCTTGTAAAATTAACTAGTGGGGGCAGAACAACTGTGTGAATTAAAGAGGCATAAAGGAAATTCAAAGGTGGGATGAGCCTTTAACCCTGATGTGTGATTTAAGAAACATCCTCTGGCTATATAAAGCTGCTGTGTTTACAAAATGTCTGTATTGCAGAGAAGCATGTTAAATGCTCAGAGTGGAAATAATGCTGAACACAGCAAAAGTACTTGCAAACACTTTTAATTCATTCCATAACTTCATGCATAGCCCAAAACAACAGTGAGGGACCATAGATGTATCTACAGCAGCTGTTGCTACCACAGAAATAGTCCAAATATATCCTAGTGGATATGGAATTAGATAAGTAGTATGGAATTAGATAATTAGTATCAAAACATTCATGAATAAAATCTCTTGCATCGTTCTACAAATTCAGTTAGAGTTTTTATGAATCAATTCATTGTAAAATGGTGACCTGATTGTTGGGGCAGAAGGAGAATGGTTGGATTAATTCTGAATATGTCTGAGACACTCCCTTGATTGTTTTGAAATGCTATTGAAAACAAATATTTAAATGAAAGTTGCTGCTAGGTATAAAGAGTGAAAAAAATAAGCCATTTTGTCAATTAAAAAGTCAACCAGGAAAAATAGATTAATCTGATAGAACTGACGTGCTGTTTGAGTTTGTCTATTCCCAGCCTGAATATTTGGAAAGAACACATGTAGTCTAAAAATGTTTTAGGGATTCTGTAATCTTTTATTTCAAATGAAACAGGTAGATGCTACTCCCTGCCTTCCTCATTTTGTGCTGCTCATGGAAGTTGGACCATGAAACAATATTAATTTTTAGTATCAGCATTCATTATCAGCTGTCTTTCCAGGTTTTCTCAACCTATCTCAACATTTTATGTAATAGCAAGTGTACATGAGTGTGCATGGAATGATGTGTTTGATTTCAGTTTTTAAATTCTGTATAAAAAGCACTGTAACTCCTCCTTTCCTTTGTGCTTTCTTTTCCTGGTTTATGTAATTATCTGAATGTTAGTCAGATAGAAATATCCAAAGGATAAAAACATGGGACATGATGAAGGAAGAAAGGTTTAAACCTTTGAACGACACATGATAAAAAGATAAGGACATTTTGGGCAATAAATATTGTTGGTGAGACATTACATCATATGGCACCAAAGAGTATCAGGAAGATATTTAGAAAAAAAATAATAAACTGTAAGAATTTATTATCTAGGCATGTCACATTCAGTCATAGATTTATACCGGGAAGTATTTGTTCACCATCCTCAATATTAGTACACATTATAATAAATGTGTACTAAAAGTTCTTCCACTGTTCTAAGACATGCTTTAATGGCTTGGTTCACAAATGCATAAAGCTTAATGGCTGCATTCAGAGTAAACCATAACAACAACAAAAATAACATTCTGACCTAGTATGTTGTTTCAGTTTGGTTATTTATGATGTACAGTTAATAATTGGCACTTGAGTTATGGCAGGGGTCTTCAAACTTGGCCTTTTTATGACTTGTGGACTTCAACTCCCAGAATGCCTCAGCTGAGGAATTCTGGGAGTTGAAGTCCACAAGTCACAAAAGGGCCAAGTTTGGAGACCCCTGAGTTATGGAGTCCCTCAAAGCTCCTTTTTATCCCTTATGCTTTTTAACATCTCCATGAAGCTGCTGGGAGTGGTCATCCATGGATGTCAGCTGAGGTGCCATCAATATGCTGATGATACCTACCTTTACTTCTCCTTTTCATATAATACAATTATAGTCACTGGTCTTCCAAACTTGTGCTTGGGCAGGGTGATAGATTGGGTAAGAGCCAATAAACTGGATGAATGGTGTTCCGCCTGTCCTGGAAGGTCTGCATTTACCTTAAAGGAACAACTTTGTACTTTGGGATGATCAACATTCAGCTTGAGAATCCAAATAAAATTCCAGGTTCATTCCATTTCCGAAAAGCATACTGCTTATTAAATACACTGCATGGTTTTGTTGAAGTAAAACTAATTCTGAGGTTCCAACACCAATTCATAGACTTAATAATTTTCCCAGCCAAACCACCAACATCTTACGTAATCCATATCAACAAATTCACTTAGTTATGGGAACTATTTGCTTCAAATCCACATCTGTTCTGGTGTCCTTGACAAGGCCTCAAGCTTTTACTGTCTTCAGCTGAATTGAGGAAGTTTTGCTTCTCCATTTAACCCACTTGAAAGTAACATCTCCCCCCCCCCTTAATCTAAAGGGACGTTGAAACGCAGAGGCATGTAGCTGCCAACGTTTCATCCTTGACAGAATGGGTCAGAGTAGTTAGAGTGAGCAAGTGCTACTGTGTTTTTACAAGCCAAGCATGAACCACATTAGGAATGGACTGTGATCTGGCCATGCTGGGATGCTTGTTGCTGAAGGAGCTGACTGAAAGCCATGCCAGAGAAATGGGCCAGGGGAAAAGATGTGAGTCGCTTTTCAGACCGGCTGTGTGTCACCTCTATTATGCTGTGGGCCTGGCGTTGGATGGAAAAGCAGTTGGAGTGTGTGTCTTGTGTCTGCTGTATTTCTAACTTTTCACTACATTTTCTTCTTTTTACTACCAGCATCCTTTATCCTGCAGACTCTACTTTCCATCTAGATAGATCAGCAAGTCTTTGGGGGCAGTGGAGTTGAAGAACTCTAGGGAGCTTAGCTTCCCTTGTCTGGGATGGATGAACTCACCACTATGGGACGTTCTGGGCCTTGGAAATTGAGAGGGGTGGATGGAGGAAGATGCAGCCTTAGGGAGGAAAAGGCAGATCATAGCATTAGGTGGTGACATGCATAGAGATGTGGCAGGAGTGGACCACATCAGAGAATATGGGGCCAGTGATTGTAATTGTTGGGTAAGCAATGAATTTATCCGATAATTACTGCAAATAGGCTGCAGTATCAAATTAATAAATATGTAACCCAGAGAAACAAAAATAAATCTATACATTTATCAGTAAATAATTTAATTGATATGAATTAGGAACTAATCAGAGGTAATTGAAAATGTAACAAGTTCTCTTTATTTATATCCTATAATTGCCCCCAAAATGGACTGATAGAGAATAAAATAAAAGTTTAAATAAGCAATTAATCAGTGTTTAACAAGATTGTGCTTTCATTAAAATAATGAATAGTTTTGACTCATTAGTTACTGCAACCCTTAAAAAACAAATTCTTTTAGACTTTCATAGAAATATGAAAAAAATATTTGGATTAGTGTACAATAGAAAAATGCCGTGTTGTGGTCCAAAAGAGTTCTTCCATATCTTATGCTTTTATTAAGCTTACAGACAAAACGAGCAAGAGGAGGAAATGAAATCCAGCAATAAAATTAGAAAGTGACCAATGATAAATGTGGCAGTTACTCAGAGACAGAAAACAGACAAGAGTGAGCATACCAATCAATTTTTTTTAAAAAAATAAGTTTCTAAAATCTGTTCCAAGGTCAGTAAGGGATAGGTAGCATTGCTCTAAGTTATTGGAAGATTTCATGTTTTGTGTAAGAGAAAGAACTGTAGGCTATTTATTGAATTGGTACTTGGTGCCGCAGTGCACAGAAACACGAGGATTTAATCTTGTAGAAGAGGTTACAATGCAGCTGAGAAGTCCTGAAAAATCAAAAAATGGTAACTAAATCTGACAAAGAGCAGTAACTAAATTCAAACAAAGAAACCGACAGACTTACATTATGATCTTAACTGAATTGTTCTGAAGAAAAGAGAGGGTAACCATATGAGCTCTGCAAAATTGGAAGCAAAAAAGAATATCATCCAGTTTACTAATAAGAGAGCTACTATGCAACCTATTAACTGCTAAGCTTTACAAAGATCATCTGGAATATTTGGGTCTTAATCTTTTTTAGCCACTGCATTTAATGACTTTTATTGTTTTATCAATATATAAAATACAAATAAAAATAAAAATAAGGAATTAAGGGAAGGAAGAAGAGAGGGGAAAAGAAAATATGAGGTATAAGGGAAGAAAGAAAAAAAGGGTCGACTTCCATTCTATTTAGCATAGTTCAAGATAACAACATTCCAGTCTCAACTTTTTATTTTTACACATTAGTATATAACTAACCATTTCTATAATAACAAATCTAATTGGCAAAACCAAAGTCAAAATTTCATTTTTCACAAGCACAAAATCCAGAAGTGATATCCAAATAAAACAAATAATTAAATATATTCTCCTCTTTGAATAAAACAATCAATTTAACTATTTTTGCTTTATTTTCCTTGCTGTAGAAATAATATGTATTTCTATTTCCAATTAATAATCTTTATAAATTATCACCATTTATATTAACAAAATTCACTTGTCTTTTTAAAAGTTGCAGATTTTCTTAGAGCTCTTCTTTCAATTGTATCAGGAGGTTTATATTTAATCAACGTAAGATTGTGAAATTGCCTCTTTCCTCTTCCCTGTTCGACTCATCCAAATGCTACTAAGATATATCCCATTATGCAAGAAGTGCAAGTCCTCACCCCCTCCTTTTAATCTCAATTACAAAGCCAAACAATGAAGAGAGAAACTAAAAAAGAAAAGGAAAAAAAAAAATAACTACCAAACAAAGAACATTGACTTCTAGGAGACACTCACAATATTCTCAAAAATCACACACACCACTCACTGTCACTGTTGGCCAGGCTGTCCTCACCCCCTGGTCTTTTTCCCCTCCCTTTATCCTTCTTTATGTTTTCACTTTTATGCATAACTAGGAAAGCTCCACTCAGCTTAAAAGATGTATGGGGTTAATTTCATAAACAAGAAGTATCTCCAAAGTGGGTCTGATGTTTTGTGAGAAAATTGCTCTTGCTTGCATCACTTCAGATTTTAAGATCCTTGAGAGACAATTTGATATTTTGAAAATTCTGTGCTTTGGATTCATGCCTGAAACTCACACAATAATGTTCTTATTTGTTCAGACTTTAGCTAGATTCTGAATTACAATTTGTTTTTAGATTAGACTATCCCCAGAATCTATTTCCAAAAAAGGTTAATAGAAGAAAATGGCATATGTAAATATCATAATTTTAAGAACTTGCTAGTTAAAAATAATATATATTTTATTATAATATTATTTTATTTAATATATATTTTGTCAGATGGATGTCAAAGAACTTACAGAGAGCAACGTCCAGACTGGAGTATTGCAACATGCTGTATATAGGGCTGCCCTTGAAGAGTATTCTATAATGCAGATTGTGGCTGTGCAGGCAGTTAATGGAATTGGTTATCTGCCATGATACCACTGTTCTGCAAGCTAAACTGATTTCCAGTGTGTTTCTGGGTACAATTCATGACTTGGAATCAGGATATTGATAATCTTTCCCATTTTCTGTCCTTCCAGATCTGGTAGGAAGGACATTTTCTGAGTATTGTTGGCTAAGCAATATCAGCTGGCAGGTTATATCAGCTGATCTTTTGTCAGGTCTTGAAAACTTGTTTTTTTTTATATATTGTTTTGTGTTTGAACCTGGGGTTCTAAATATGTGATGGAGCCTATCTCCTAGTCATGTTAATAGTGATTTTTACCATTTGTATTGATATGTTTTATCTATTTAATTGTAAGCCACCCAGTACATATGTGAGATGGGCAGGCATATAAATTCATTAATAAATAGGCATTTTAAAATAATCTTTTTATTATTTTGACACGATCATTATACAAAATTAGGTTAAAGTTTAGATATAACCTTTGAAGAAAGCAATCCATAATTATGTGGTAATGATAATGCCAGGATATGCCTAGAATTATTAATAATCTTTATCTTATAACTATATCAAAATATGACAGTTTTCTCAGTACCATTCATGTTCAGAATGAAACATATTTAAACAAAATCCTGATTACCTAATTTGCACATTTCAATTTATTTTGCTTCATTTGACCTCAGCCTTGTAAACAGATATCAGATTTACACATGAAACACAGAATAGTGTTATGAACATACATTTAAGAAATAACATAACTTTATTGCTTGTTTGTAATGAACAAACCTGAAAAATAAGAATGTTGTCAGAAACAACTTTTTCTATGTAAAAAGTTTTAAGTAATTTTCAATCAAATACCTAATTAATAACTTTTATTTCCCACTTGAATAAAAAACCTGAAAACGTAATAATATGAAGCAAAGAAAATTTCCTCCTTTGTGTTTTTATAGATTTCAAAATATTTCATTAATGTTTTCATCAAAAGAATAGTTTATCTGCATTTTTTGCATTATTAATGTTATGCTACAATAACAGTCTTAATGCAGTTTCATTATTTCTACTTCAATGAAACACAAAAATATGCATAGTGCTTGCTTCTGGGATTTGGAAACCTTGAAAGCAATTAGCCCTCATTGAATTAAAATATGGGGAAAAGTACCATTTTTCAGCCACTTCTATATAATAGATTTTTCTTTCAGTTTCTGCAGATTGATTTCTTCATAAAGTTGCTGCCGGAATTTCAGCATATCTTCAACATCTTTGTAGCAAAGCATTTGTTCAATAGACAACAGCTTAAAACTATCTAAATTAAACGGGGACTTATTTTGCACTGAGTTTAAAATCCCTAATGACACTTTCGCCGAATCACTTAAATAAGAGCATACAGGGAAGATTCGAATAGTCCACAAACTCAGACATGTTTTGTCCCCTGAAAAGAGCTCATCTGAAATTCTCAAGCCCCAAAGCTCTAAGCATTGTTTAAGACCAATGCCAAAAAAACTTAGTAGGTTTATATCTGCAAGATTTGCCACAGTCTTTTTCAAGTTATCTTCTATGCCCAACACCATGCTCACATACTTTAATTCTCCATCAATTCTTATGCTCAGAGTTGTCATAAAAGTATTTGGTGGTATATTTGCTTCTGTGTCAATGGAACAGCCACTGATGATACTGTTTGTCCCTACTGAAACCTTGGAATCCAATCTAGAATATTCAATTAGTGAACCAGGTGCAACAAAACACTTTGAACTAAGCATACTGTGAATGATACATGCCGATTTATCCAAGTCTTCTGCCTTGTTTGAACAGATGCTAAAAATATTTGGCAGCAGACCCAACTCCAATTTCATTTTTCTATCAGAAGTGTAATGAAACAAACACTCACGAGTAGTTCCAATATGATGGAATTTGGAATTATTTAGGAGTATAACATTGAGAGGCAAACCTTTTAGTATGTTAAACATCTTCTCTCTTATTTCTATTAGACCTGATTCTTTTGTGACATTTTCAACTTTTGTTGCATAATCTTTTGTTGCTCCAGACCCTAATGCCTGCAGAAAGTCACCATAGGCATCTATTTCATAGCAAAGTTTGCCTATCTGTTTATAAAATGTTAGCATCAGTTTTGCAGTGGTGCAATCAATGTAAAATAAGCTATCTGTATATACAAACTCAGATTCCATAAATGAATCCCCCAGGTCCCCAGGAGGTAATGTTTGACAATTATTCCTTTTATACACTGCTCCAGACTGATACATTTTTTCAATGCTAGGCTTATGCAGAAAAAGATTACAAGATCTGTACTCAAGTTCTTTTTCTATCAGGGGTAATGGAGGCTCCAATACAAAAACTCCATGACATGTACCAATGCTCAAACTGGAAGGATGAGCTAATGCAGTAAATCCAGACTGATTAAACCTCAGGAGTTCTGTTGCATCAATATTATAAAATTCAATATCATCTGCGCATGTAATCAAAACACCTGGATTCATACAAGCAGGAAAATCAATGTACATGGCTAATTTCAAATCAAGCATTTGGTAAATTGGATCCCCACAGGGCAAAGCTGTGAAAATTTTTCCCAGGGCACTGGCATTCGGTAAACGTTGACTATAACCACCTTTATAAAAACACAAAAAATGAAGAATATTTAATATAAATAAAGCATGCATGTGTTTATATTCATATGCATCCAGATTCTAAAGAATTTCACTTGAGGTTGATTTTTTCATATCTTGTGTGTATGTATGTAAGTATGTATATATATATATATATATATATATATATATATATATATATATATATATATATATATATATATATATATATATTTTACATGATGCACGAATGAATGAATCCCCACACCTTCTACATCAGACTTTGAAATGATGGTAAGGGGCAGCAGGAGGAGAATATAATCAGGAGTAACATCCGCATAACATTTTAGAGGAGATTATAAGGCCCAAACCAAAGAAAATACACAGAGATGCACTGACCTAGAGAAGTTTCTAAATAAAATCACCTCAATTGGACAAAGATTCTACAAAATATTTCAGCGACAGACTTTAAATGTGAGGAGTTTGTTATGGTCAGAGAACTGAAGTCAAAGCTTTAGAGGTTTACACTGAACTCAGAAACACATTTGTATGTAGTGCAGTTCAACTCGCACAAAGACCTGGATGGCTTCATTGTGCATGAACTGTAGTTGCTGAATTCTCTTTAAATGATTATCTCACATAGAGAGCCAAATGTACAACCAGCACAAAGGCAAGACTCTTCAGATAGGTTACAGCTAACATACATATTAAAGTGATGAACTCCTGCACCCTGCATTTCCATTATGAAAACTCTGGAAGAACCCTCAACTTGTACAATTCACTTATTTGCTATAAACCTTCATTTAAAAAGGCTGTGCTTCTATCTTCAGCATTTACATTGTATGGAGGAAGTTACAGAGCATTTGAGTTCTTCTACTTCCAAACATCAATGTAAGAAACCAAAGGATATATGATTCATCATATTCTAATGCAGTGACACTGAAATGACTGCTTTCTAGTGAGTTGTAAAATCATTCTGCCAAAAATCATAAAGACTTTCCAAATTCGATATTATTTATCAATGTCATACTTTATTCTTTCCAGCTTTATGTAAATTATAAATAACTGAATTTTTGTGGGTCATTAATATTATTATTTGTTCTACAGTCTTTCCTTTCCCTAAAGAGTTTTGAGCAGAATTTTAAAGATAATTCCAGGCTATAATTTAACCCAAATATGCTTATCTGACTTTGAGTATAATTTTGTAGTGGAAAGAAACCCAATTCATCTTCACTACTCTCTTCAGGGAAAAAACAAACAGACGTGCATCCTACATAATGTAAGGTAAGTTGATGGATAAAAATTACCAGAATGAATTAATATGATAGTGAAGGTATCCCATTTATCTCCATAATACTCTTCTAAACACCGAAGGGCGTGAAGTGTTGATCCACCATTTCCTACAAAACATTTTAACACATATTTAAATTTAGGAAGAAGAATTAACAGATTAGTTTGCAACCAACTGATACATCTATTTTTTGAAAGTCATGTTACTTTAAATCACACAACACCACAAAATTTATTAAGTCAACTTGGATCATTATCATTTTTACAATGGTCATGGAAAAGATGATTCGCAACTCTTAGTAGTAATCTCTGTAACTCTAACATCAAACAATAGCCATGGAAATGTTACTTATTTGCCAAATCAGGCAAATAAAATGAAAAACTATTTTCTCAAGATTAGAATTAATCCGTTTTATGAGAAGTAGTCTTTTCTGTTTAGATCATACTGTGAAATTTTCATAACATTTTAAAAGTTTGGATTGAAAACTATAAAATGGAAATGTTTTATATATTTATATTTAATTATATATTTTTAAAAATGCTGAGTATTATCCAACACAAATCATGAAGCTCATATCAAATATAGGCTTCATGTCCAGATCTCTATTTTCTCCCTAGAATGCTTTTTAAAGGAAAAAAGTTTTCATAAACTGAGATACTGTAAAATTTAATACAAATACTACCTAAACTAGAAAAATCCTTAAGAGTCTATTCAATTGACATATTATCCAAAAGAACATCCAGATCATTAATAGCAACGGAATTTCACATTTGAATCAAAAGAAGCATAATAATAGTAATTGAACATATTTTAGAAAGTTTAATTAATATAATTTGGCTTCTAATGACATTCTGGAAATCTTTCAGTAAAAGATACAGCTGTCATAATATGCACCAGAAGGAGAACCTTTTTATCAGTCTGAAAATTAATCAAATTGTACTGAACATTTAACCACAAACTGTCTTCAGTTTCTGTTCATCAGATGATTGAAAAGTTAAACTTAACAAACTTTAGGCAGAAGCCAGCTAATATATTTTTAAATTCCATGGATTTTAATGAAAGAAACAGAAGTACTTAATTCAGTTTGAATGATGGCAGCCTTTCCAATCCTACTGTTTCCCATATGTAGAAGTTCAACACAGTCATGATGGTGCGAGAGAGCATCATGAATGGATGTCTGCAGCAAACTGAGATTACATTATGACCTCACAGTGCAAATTCTGCTCTTTTAGATTTCTATTCCAATTTCTGGCATAAGTTCCATCGTTTCTTTTGCTCATCTTTCCTGTGGATGTTCTGGCCCCATTGCTGGAAGGACTGTGTAATGTTTTGAATGTACTGTATGTATGGGTATATATGTTTTGTTTTATTTTGATAACATTATTAACTCTCTCTAAATTGCAGAACCTACCAATTTTGGGTCCAGGAGGATCAGCAAAAACATGATAATCCACACCCAGGGGCAATTCTTTTCTTTTCAGCTTTTCTGATAATTGTTTTTGATAAGCTATTTCTTGCTTTTTATCAACTGCTGTTATTACAACAACATCCCAAAACTCTCCAGTCTGCACAGTTTTACCTGATTGGAAAAAGGAAATGTCATTACAAGGGATATAATTACCAAACTGATTTAAAATGTTCTTACCTCAAACAAGACTATAAAATCTTGAATTGGGATTCCTACTCCTTACTTCAGTCGGCCTCAACTAATATTTCTGTTATACCACCTACAACGTATTTACACTGCACTTAGCTACTAAAGTTCAGCCATTTTCTTCTTCCTTGGGTTCAGATTCACTTGATTCTAATGTATAGTGGTCCATTACTGCTTTCCTTCAGGCTGCCTAAAGTGCCAATGAAAGATGTGCATGTATTGAAAATGATTTGGAAAAGCTACTTTGGAACGTGTGGGAACATGAATGTAGCACTTCTTTAATGATTAAATTATTAAAGTAGCTGAGGCTCTATTAAAAAGGTGTTCTGTTTGCATTTCTGTGCATTCCAAAGCAGTCTTCTAAATCATTTTGAAAGCATGCAGTCTTAATCTCAACCTTCTTATTTTTTATCAAACATTGTTTTCCTGATTGCTCTTTTCACAAAATTGCATTTACTGGACATAAGAAAGTCTATGTTATATGACCCTGCAAAAGTGCTTAGCCATTCAAAAAGTGCTTTATATGCACTCCAACATATTGAAAAATACGTCCTTTAAATGCTTTTCCAATGCTGTACAATACTTATGCTTGGGGAGCAAGGGTTTGACAGTTTTCAGAAGTGAATGTGGTTGGAAGGAAAACAAAAATATCTCTGTTCACTGGAATAATTCTGCGAGTTTTGCAGTCCCCTACTTCACAGAGAACTAAAATGCTTTTATTCCATGTACAAATTTTCCAGTCTACCTATTGGTTAGATATGCTTAGCTTTATCAAGATGAGAACACTGTATTTTCTATAGTGAATGAAAACTGATGTGCTCATTCCTTTATTAAGAACCAATACAATTTATATATGAATGGAACTATAAATTTTATGTCAACTACTTGCCACTACATAAAGAAAAAAAATTACATTCATTTATTATAAAGCCTCATTAGAAATAGGAGCAGGTTCATACATCATACTAAATTGTAATAGTTTGATTTTGGCTTAGCATGTTGAGCTAATCTAGCCAACAGCACTTTATTCAAGAGGCTATGGTTAAGTAAATTATGGTTTAGTGTGACTGCAAATCCATAGAAGTTATATGAAAAGTTTGAATAAAAGGGTATCTGCATAATCTACAATGGTTGTTATAAAATTTCATTACATGCTATGTATTTGCCTCTCAAATGAGCAATAAGTCCTCCTCTCATATCAGATTTTCAGTCCTTCCCATTAATAACAATTGCACATTCTTCTTCAGCATCAATTGAAGAAAACTTTCTATCCAAATGAGAGGATCTAACGCAGTGGTTCTCAACCTTTCTAATGCCGCGACCCCATAATACAGTTCCCCATGTTGTGGTGACCCCCAACCACTTATACATTACTGGGTGCCAGGGGCGTGGCCAAAGAAAAGGGGGAAAAAATGGCGGACAGCCTTGTTTGGCGACCCCTGTGAAATGGTCATTCGACCCCAAATGGGGTCCCGACCCACAGGTTGAGAACCACTGATCTAACGTTATTGGGGATACCAAACAACATCCTCCCTCTCAGTTGCAAGGAGATGAAATAAAAAAAGTCACACATTTTCTGTTGCCTCATGAACACTTGGTTTGTATGAGCTCTTTGAAACCCAAGGCTAAGGCAGGGGAAATAGCAACCATTTGTCTGGAAGAGTGGGAGTGTGCCTGCCAACCTTTTCAACATAATTTATAAGGTTGGGACAACAAGCAGTAGCTTCCCTTCTCCTATTCTTTACAATCCAGATGTACAATTTGTGCCATTTTTCCACAGGGCACTAAAATCCTCCACCAAGAGCATGCAACCAAAGGGTGCCACGCCTGAGGCACCAGCGTGTGTGCTCTAGAAGCAGTCTCACAAAGCCTCATCAGAAACAGACGCAGGCTCAGTTATCATACTAAATTGCAGCAGAGGTTGATTTTGCCTCTGCACGTTGAGTTCATCTAGCCAACAGCACTTTATTCAAGAGACCATGGTTAAGTAAACTATGGTTTAGTGCAGGGGTCTTCAAACTTGGCCCTTTTATGATTTGTGGACTTCAACTCCCAGAATTCCTCAGCCAGTATGCCTAGCTGAGGAATCCTGGGAGTTGAAGTCCACAAGTCATAAAAAGGCCAAGTTTGAAGACCCCTGGTTTAGTGTGACTGCAAATCCTTAAGAGGCAATCTGATAGCAAAGGCCTTCTAACTTACTACAGGCATTTTAAGCCAGTGTTAAAAAATTCTCACCCACTGAACTGATGGGGGGTGAGAGGGGGAGATAGATTTTGAAAGCTGCTTTCTACATGAGCAATTACAAGGGCGTCCCTATTCTCAGAGCCGCCCATCCGGCTAGCCATCCAAAGAAGGTATTGCCCAGGCCCCAAACCACGACAACCCTTGCTGCAGCCCCCAGACAGCCACCTCTCAACCCAGCGAACTTCTCCAGCCTCTTCCGCGTAGCTCGCCGACGCCGCGCTTCGGCCTCGCCCGCCAGCGGCATCCCGGGGTCGCACGCCGCCTCGCTCTCTCGTGCTTCCGCCCTGAGACTGACGACGCCACCGCCTCTTCCTTAGCGGAGACGGGACGGGCCGAACAGGCCTTGGTGTCGCGGAAGAGGCCGGTTGCTTGGCAACCGAGAGGCGTCTCTTGAATCTGGCTCCCGCTTTCTGTCCCGGGAAGGCGAGCGGACGGGACGGCTTGGGATAGGAGGGAGTCGGTGAGTGAAGGAGGAGCAGTGAGGAAAAGAGCTGGAAGGAGGGTAGGAAGGAGAAATCCCGAGGTCGAGGGTCCTAGCTGCATGAGTTACGTGTCCGGAGTTGCTCAGAGACAGCCTTTGGTTGCTTCTGACCTGTAAAGCTTGGGAAGAACCAAGAGGGAGGGAAGTTTTTAATCCGGAAATCTAACTGTCTCTACCTAAACCTAAATACCTTTTATTAAGAGAACGGAAATGAAGGTTGCTACCTTTGTAACGGAAATGAAGGTTGCTACCTTTTGGGGGGTGATCTCTCCCAGAGAAGAATGTGGACATTAAGGAGCGATTCTCCCAGTCTCATAGTACCCAGCGAACTTAATTCTCTTAGCTGCCTTGCCCTGGGAAAGTTGGGGTAGGAGCAAAAATTACTCCTCAGAATGGTAACTGCTCTTTTGAAAAAGGAACAGATTTTTCTTAAAAATGCATTCTTAGGACCCCTGAGGGTCCCCCCCAGGGATTAGTGAAATCAAAATTACTGTATTTGGCAGTTATGTTGAAATCTCATCAGATAATCTTGAGACACTGTAGGGGCAGTGAATGTGTCAATTTTAATTTTTAAATTGGTAGATATTGATAAACATAACCCATAAAAAAAACTCTTTGCGGGGGTCCTCCATAAGTTTTAAAAGTGGGAAGAGATTCTGAGAGGAAAAAAATTAAGAATGCTCTATCCCAAATCATGAACTAATTATAGAGGCTGAATTAATTTAGGCTAATATCTGAGTAGTACAGCCAAAGAGTAGAGGATTTGTGTGCAAACAAAGATACCAGCAACTATGGCTTGTCCATTTGTTCTGCTGGCAGGCTGTTGTAGCCTACTCCTAGTATCCACATGCACCGAAGTATAAATCCAGTTAATTTAATTGGGTTTATGTCTATGGAGATTCTTAATCATCCTGGACGTGGTTGTCTCAAAACTGTTTTTTCCCCCCTAAGGCAATAGGACATTCTTGGTTTTTTTCCTTTGAAAACATTTAACTTCTCATCCAAGAATTTCTTGAATGAGAAGCAAAAAGTTTTCAAAGGAAAAAAACCCAAGAACATCCAGTTTTCTGTTGAAAAAACACACACCTTTGGGTTTACTATGATAAGGCTACCGTCTGCTAGTGGAAACCAAAAGTGAATACTGTATTTGCTGACTGTATATGCTGAAAGTTCTCTTAGAAGAAGTCTATAGGACAGTGGTGGCGAACCTATGGCACGGGTGCCAGAGGTGGCACTCAGAGCCCTCTCTGTGGGCATGCGCGCCTTCATCCAGTCTTAGGCCTTCAGCTGGGTTTTATAAAACCTTTTCGCTTTAGGCCTCCGCCACCATGTGCAAAAAAAAAAAAGGTTCAATCAATCAGTCAATTTCAACTTCTTGTGGGAAAAAAAAAGATCTTGCAAAGTTGGAATTAATTGATTGAACTTTTTAGTCCCACCCAGTCTGCCATTACCACTGCAGCCACGCCCACCCAATGGGCCACACCCACCCGGCACCTGACGATGCATAAGTGGGTTTTGGGTTGCAGTTTGGGCACTTGGTCTCTAAAAGGTTCGCCATCACTGCTATAGGAGCATAAGATTCACAAGATAGAGCCAAAGCAAATTCTCCAAGTTAAAGAAAAATGAAATATTCCTCATATTGTACTGATGATACAACTGCACAAAAGTATAAATATGTAACTCTTAAAGGTTCACAATCAGTGGTATATATTTCACTTAAAAAAGTCTAGTTTAATCCTAGGATTGTAGAGGGAAATAAAACGCTAACTGAATTCTGAATTGATCATGCCAATTCTTTCCAGAGCTGAAGGGAGTGGTTGTGTAAAGAAAAATTCTTTCTTTACAGAGGTAAGATTTGAATAGCTTATATTATTTTTATGTTTGATCATAGAAATAGGTAATACAAATATGTTTGGGGACAGTTCTGATAATGCCAAACAAAATAGTTTGCTTCCTTCTCAGAAACTAATGCCTTTTTAGGAGAATGACCCAGATAGGCCTCAATTCTTACAATCCTTGTGTTAAAAACAACCAAATGATCTTCGTTTAAAATACAGCAGAGGTGATTATATTTTCTGAGCCTCCAGCCAAAATCATGGTAGTCCACAAATGCATTCATTTATTTATCATTATTTATTTAAATTCACAAAATAAATATAGTATTTGCTGTGTTTGTGGCTTAAGGTAAAAAGATTTTTTCATTTGTCATTGTCAGTTGAAACCTCTCATTTAAGCCACTAACTGATTTTATTTATTTATTTATGAGACTTATATACCGCTTTAAGTGCAAGCACTCTCTAAGCGGTGTACACCAGTAAGCAATGTATGTATATATTTACATTGCCCCCAACAATCTGGGTCCTCAGTTTACCTACCTCGGAAGGATGGAAGGCTGAGTCAACATTGAGCCGGTGAGATTTGAACCGCCGACCTGTTGAACACAGTCAGCTAAAGTGGCCTGCAGTACTGCACTCTAACTGCTGCGCCACCTTGGCTCGGATTTATCAGTTTTTCCACAGACATAATCATTTACCAACAAAATAAGTTTTTATGCTCTTCTTTGAAGAGTCAAAGATGACCAAGAAGTACATTCTGCTTAGGCTTCTTGTTCTTCAAATGGGGTAATCTGTTATTATATACTTACATTAATTTTAATACTGGGGTTGCAAAGCAAATGTATCAGTTATTTTCAGTTGAATAAATTTTACAGTTGTATAGGTTTTTTTGTCTCTACTGGTGGATCTCAATTGTAATTTTGACTAGGTATGCAAGTCTCAATAGAATTAAGGAAAAATTATTGATATGTGAAAATTTTATTTCCTATATCATGGCCCATTTTAAGATTCTTGACAGGTACCTTTACTCTCTTTTTAATTTTAAGAGCTCATGCCTAGTCTCCCAGAGATTATAAAGGTGCAAAGTGCAAATGAAAGAAAATGAAGCAGCGGTGCCCTTTGATGTGGTTTTACCATGTACAAATCTTGCAATAAAAGAAGTCTTACGAATAAGGCAGGATTCTCTTTAAGGAATTGTCTGAAATTCATCTTGGTGGTAACAAAATGACTGTTTTATGTGCCCCTTAAAGTAATGTTGTATATGGGAAACAGAGAGTGGTTTCCTTGCCTTTAAATAGTGTATAGAAATATATATTTTGAAGGTTTGTTGTTAATTCTGTAAATATTAAATTGACATCTCTTTAAACCATGACTAAGCATATTGACATGAGGTGAATGGATCTATACAAATTGAAGTACAGTCTCATTTAATTTTATGATTTACTCAGTTAAGACTACATAAATTACTTCTGTAGTGATCTCCAGTGACCTAAGTGAGATTTTAATTTTGCAAAGTTATAAAATATTACATTTTAAAATATTCTTTAACAATTGTGCAAGATTGATTGCTACATTGAAACTACCGTTTAGGACTAGAATAGACTGTAGGACCAAAAGAGTACTCTCCACTTCCATATGGTTTTTTCCAATAAACCTTTTCACTTAGAAATGTCCATAGAAATACACTTTTTATAGAGAAGTTGCTTCCAATGTTACTAGCTATTGAGAGAAGAGAAATGAAGAGGAAATTTAATATGCATAATTTCAACCCTAATCTAACTCTGTTTAACCAGCCATCATTGTTTTGAGATACTTCATTTAGAATCATGTTACAGTTCTATTCACTATAATCTCTCTGTGTGAAACCATTCTATTTTACCTTGCACAAAATCCTCATTTGAAATCTGCTACAGCTGAGGAATTAAGATATGTTGCTAGCCCAATTCACACTTGTTCCTATTCTTCTATCAGTTCCCTAAAATTCATGCAGTTGTGTTGTTGGAAACAAACAAATGCTAACCAATCCTCAACTGATGCATGGACGCTGTGAATTCTAGATTAACTTCTACTAATTTTACTTGTTACTTGGCAATATTGGTTCTGGTTGTTACTCTGGCCAGCTGTTGGCTGATGACTTGGGGATCTGTCCAGTACCAGCCCTGCTCAGGGACCAAGTAGGTGGAAATCTTAGACAGATGGGCTTTACCCAGCTTCTGCCTACGTCAGATACAACTGTGCTTGAACCAGGACATCCTGATTACAGTAGATCACACCCTGATTTACCATCTGGCTGGGCAATTACAGTGAGCTCTATGTAGGGCTGCTTTTGGAAACAACTCAAGCTATAGCTTATACAAAATGTTGCAGCAAGACAGTTCCAGTATAGAGTAACACATGCTTCAATCACTGCAGTAATTGCCAGTAGGTTTCTAGATTAGTTCAAAATGTTGGACATTACTTTTAAAGCTTTATATGGCACAGCATTAGAATATAGCAGCCATACCCTGACTGGATCGAATCTACCTGTTTGATCCGATCCACTGTGAATCTATAGATAGTCCTTTCTAACTACGAGATTTATGAACTATGGACTACAGAGTTCATGTTCAGCCCTTTCCAATCCATTAGATTTGTGGAATGTGGACTAGATATGATCAGGCTTTCTCTGCGTCAGCCGTAGTTTATGGAATTTCTTCCTGCAGTCTTACATTTTAAATAATATATAAATAAGCTAAGCCTCTATTGTTTCAGTGCTTCTTAGATCTGGTCAACACCAGTTGTGGTTTGACAGAATCAGAGACTATTGGTTTATAGGGAAAAATCAGGACTTAGGAAGTTTGCTGGAACAATGCTGATCCATGAAGGCTTCCATGATTCCTGTCTTAGAGGTCCTAGCTGTAAAGACTTGTCCTTGGGATTTTACATGATTCAACTTTGGATTCTCTTTCTTTGTTGTTTGCTGCTACTCTAAACATTGTCTGCTCAGGAGTCTGCCTATGCATGTATGAAATTTAGACTGAATTTATGACTTCAGGTTAAGCCTGACATTTATTTGCAACTTTAAGTATTGCTGTTCTTAAAGCTAGGACGTCCTGAAAATCTCAGATTTTCAAAATTTAAATATATGATACTTAATGCTGGTAATTTATTTATTTATTAGATTTATATACCCTCTTTTTTTCAAGAGCTCAAAATAGTAGGCAAAACACGCTCTCTTCTGTAATGGGAATGATTGACCAAGAGTTACTCAGTCAGCTTCTGAGGCTGATAGAGGACTAAAACTTAGGTCTTCCTGGTGCCGGTTCAGTTTTATTCTTGTAAAGATTTATAGCTTAAATTTACAAAATCCAGGAATAATAGAGACTGTAGTTCAGTACCAACCCTTTGGGCATTTAGAAAAGACATTACATCTAGCTACTTTGGCAGTTCTTGAACTGATTTGAGAGGTGGGATTCCCCTCTGCAGTAAGTGATAGTTTATTTCTTTTCAGTATCTTCAATATCTTATTCCTTGGCATAGTAAGATTTAAAATACATTATTGTGGGTTACTATTGTCAAATCTATTTACTGAATTGGAGTGTATGCTATTTACAGCTGGTTGCGATTGAAGTGACACATAAGCCTTGTTAATGAATAACTAAAAACAAACACAAAAATAAATAGAATGAGTTAAAAAAAAATACAATTCTTTAAATAAATGTTTTGAAGTCATGAACAGTTGACTCACTTTTATAGGCTCTAGGTCATTTATCAATCGAATCCCTATCCTTTGAAACCCTCTGCCATTTAATTTTATAAAACAATTTTGTAAAATTTTATAATTTATAAATGTGTTCATTTTCAGGATTTACAAAGCTTTAAAATGAATTCTTTTGAAAATGGCTTTTAATTCATGTGTTTTATTGATCACAAGGCTATCTATATCATCCATAAATTATCCTAAAGTTCTGGCAATACAATTTTTATTGGCTGAATTATATAATTTTAAAAATATCATTATATTATATTACTGTTTTGGTGGACTTGACCCAAGAAGGAAATCTATCATATAATAAAACAAATCAATAATTTGCAATTGAGAATATTCTTATACCCTATTGTGGTGTGTAAAGTATGAAGTGCTTTGTTTATCTGATAAATGTAAAATAGCATTCCCCCCCCCCAGATGCTTACATGTTCTTAAATGTTCTCTTAAATATGTTTTCTTCTTCCTAGCTTCGCTGTTATGGCTGGTCTTTTTATAAAGCAAGGTGAACTGTATGGAGCAGTTAGATATTTACTTTATGTATTTGAAGTTTTTTTTAAAGGAAAGTTGAATAAATATAACATACTGTGTAATCCTTTCTCCCTTTAGATCTCTCATGGATAAACCGTAAAGGAGATAACTATGGAGGAGGAATTTTTAGAATATCTTGTCTGTGTGTCTGAAAAACTACTACTTGAATATGGCCAAACTGCTGATGAAAGAGATACAAAGAAACTGAGAAATCTTGTTATGGTTAGACTGCATGCACAGCATCTATATGATCTGCGAAGCATGCCATATTGTGTTTCACTCAGAATATGTGATCTGTCTTGTAATTTCCTTACAAATATTGATGCACTTGAATATTGCACTAATTTAATTAAATTGGATCTCCATAATAATCAGGTGAGTAGTAATGGCTTTAAAAATGTAATTTTCGAAATAATCTAATCTATACCAATAGAAGAGCTCCTAATATTTGCATCAAGCTAGGTGTGTTTTAGTATTATGGAGTTTTCCAGTGAAACTGCACATGGATTCTTTAATCAGTTAGGATTCTTTTGGTCGTTCCAGCTGTTTATTGAATAACTAACCTAATGAACACTTTTGGAAACATATATATTTCTTGGATGAAAACTAAAATATGTATAATATCTCCTTTGAAATTTCAGTGATCCTTTCTATATGGTGGCCGTGGGTTATAGGAAACCAAGGTTTTATTTCATTGGGAGGGCATTCAAAGATGGGGGCAATCAGTCAGATTCCTTTCAGTATTTAATTTTTTATTTCTAGACTTAATACTGATAATATTAATGGGCCGAAGCACCATAAATTGATATTTTGGCTCAAAATGTTTGATGAGTATTAGCCCTCCTCCAAATGGCAATAGTCTCTTTGCAGCCTGAAAAATAGCTGATCAAGATTCTTCTGCCTTGTTTCATGTCTTGTTATAGTTTTCCCTTGTTTTTCTTGCATACTTTTGGGAAGGTGGGAATCTGACTTATTTTTTTTTAACATTCACTTTAAAAAATGCTCAAGTTTACAGACTCAGGATGATGATATCAGGTTCTGTCCCTCTATGTTATATGAATAGAGAATCCTAATCATGCCTTTGAACACGTATGTAACTGGTCCAGGCCTTTGCCTTTAAAATTTTAGATAGTGGCATTTTTGTCATCGTTTTGTTTGTTGATATTTCCTTTACTTTGTAATATGTACACTATGTCTATAAAGAAACAAATTCATAATCTAAAATTTGTACAACACAGAATTGTTGTATAGACCATGTACTATTTATGCTACAACTTCTATAAAATAATTGCCATATTAAAAGTATCTTAGAAGTTTCTGTAGATAAAAATGTCTCTAGGTAGAGCTGGTTATACTAATTCAACCCCCTTGTTTTTGAGTTTTCTAAATCTGGGGAGTTAATAATTTCTAATAACTAAACCTTTTAATGCTCCTTAAAAATGCTAGAGGAAAACTATATAATTTTAGGAAGGTTTTTAGATAATTCTGATTCTAAAATTCAGGTGCATCTGGAGATCCTCCTAGTGTACCTGAGAATTCATTACCTCATTTCTCGTATTCTTCCATTCCCTTTAACTGATGCATTAGTTACCATACTATCAATTTTTGTAGGCATTATCAACTCACTGATTTTGCACTGATATTTTGGTGATTTCCCCTCTTCCTTTTTTCCCATTGACCGTGGCAACTTTAAGTTGCATGAATTTCAACTCTCAGAATTCCCCAGCCAGTATATATCATAATGTTGTCAATGTTGGGAAACAATATATTAGTTGACATTGACTGGCCTTTTTCTCTTTTTTACTTGAAAAGGCAAGCTTTGGTAGCACTAAATTGTAATTGTGGACCAGATTTGATCATTGTGCTTTTTGAAGAATTATATACAGATAGTCCTCGCCTTATGACTACAATTGAGCCTAAGATTTCTGCTGTTAAGTGAGACATTTGTTCAGTGAGTTTTGCCCCAGTTTATGACCTTTCTTGACACAGTTGTTAAAGTGAATCACTGCAGTTGATAAGTTAGTAACCCAGTTGTTAAATGAATCTGGCTTTCCCATTGACTTTGCTTGCCAAAAGATTGCAAAAGGTCATTATATAATCTTGGGACAAAGCAATAGTCATAAGTATGAACCAATTGCCAGGCATCTGAATTTTGATCCCATGATCACATCATCATGGGGGACTATGATTACTACAAAGGTTGTAACTGTGAAAAGGGGTCATAAGTTACTTTTTTCAGTGCCTTTGTAACTTTGAACAGTCACTAAATGAACTGTGGTAAGTCAAGGGCTACCTGTACTCTTCAAGGATAGTAATATACTTATTAAATCATTTTTCATTTTTATCCCCTTTTAAAATAGTTTTTCAATCCTATTTCAGCTAGAATTACTTCCTGGTCCAATGTTTTGGAGATACATGAAGAATTTACAATTATTATATCTACATGATAATGGAATTTCAACACTGGAAGATGTGCATTCATTATCTTTTTGCCCTAATCTTATTGCACTCACTTTATATAATACTCCACTGTGCCTGAAAATTGCCTATAGGCACATTGTTGTTAACAGCATTTTTTCACTCAAGGCACTGGACTACTATGTCATTTCTGATGAAGAAATAACCGAAGGTTGGAGACTAACTGAAAAATACAGACCATTTACTCTGGACTTTTTTGTTGACTATTACCCTCTTTCTGGAAAGGTAAACACAAAGTAATCTAATATTTATTAACATGTTACGACGTACTGTACGCCTTCCTAGGAACACTAAGTTTCAAATATATTCTCAGTTTGAAAGCATGCAAATGCAATCAGATAAATAGGTACCACTTTGGTGGAAAGGTAACAATGTTCCATGCAGTCTGGCATATAGTCATGCTGTCCACATGACCATAGAAACAACAGTACTGACTACCTCAGCTAGGCAGTGGAAATGAGCACCGCCTCCTACACTAGGACACGATTGGGCAGAGGAAACCTTTATCTTTACCTTTATATTCTAACAATCTGTCGCCTTTATCTGTGTTCAAGCCAGAACATTTTCATTTAGAGTTCAGTGTGGGAAAGATTCTGCCTCTCAAGAGACAAGTCCTGCAAATACATTTGTGAAATATTTGCTTCTCTCAGAAAAAAATAAGTCTCAATATGACTATTGTGGAAAGTGGTCATAACTCTCTATGAGTTACTTTTAGCATAGTCTCAATATCTATAATTATGCAGAAGTGCATTGTATTGAATTCGCTGGGAAACCAGCTCTGGTAAATATTATAGGATTTTTTCCAGACTAGAGAGAAGAGGTGCAGAGTGTTGGTTTCCTGCCATTTCCAAAGTGTCTTCCATTTTGGCTTGCAGATCTCCAGGGCAGCTTGGCAGACTGAACATGACTCTGCTTTTAGTGGAGTCTACAAATTGGTCAAAATAGGAGCTGGTGAAAGGATCGGCTTCTCAGAAAACTAAGGAGAAGATAAGGCACACCTGGTTATGGCTTCATACCAGTGGTGGGATTCAGCCAGTTCGCACCGGTTTGTCAGAACCGGTAGCTAAATTTTGTTGAGTTCGGAGAACCGGCTGAATGCACACTGTTTCCAGAAATCCATTCTAGGCTTTGAAGGCTTGGAGGAGGCCTCCCAGGCCTAAAAAGGCCCACCAGAAGTGCGTGGATGCCACTTCTGGAAGCCCGTTCTAGGTCTCAGAGCCCAGGCCTGCATCCATGCAGAGAACCGGTTGTTCTGATATTTGAATCCCACCATTGCTTCATCCATATTTTCCCTGTGAAGAGATTGCAAAATGGCACTCTCCAGTGAGTTTGAGGGTCAGGCAAATATTCATCTTGCCTAAGCCATGCTCAGTGCCCCTTAAAGAGACGTTGTGTTTGCATACTTCCTCAATTGCTTTAGGAAACTACTTACTACTAATTTCTTTGGAATTAAGAATCTTTCAAAACCTAAGTTCTACTATACTGGGAGAGTTTCCTTTCCTCCTGGATGAAAGAAGCTCTGAGTAAGTTTAAGAATTAACAAGAGAAGCTTTGATTTTTTGAAAAACAGCAAAAGTGGGATTAGAATGTTTATTTTGGAACGTTAATAAGCTAGAAAACATTTCCTGTGGGATGTTCAAAAATTAATAAAATTGTATATGAACTTTTTGAAATTAAAGTTAAATCCTTCTGTGGGAAAATTTTGCTGAAAAGAAAACAAACGGATGGCAAACAAATAGCAAGAGGGGGATTGGCTTCAGAAAGTACAAAGAATTACTCTTAAAGAACAGACTATTAGAGAACAAATGCACTGCGCTATTAGACTGTAGAGGAAATTAAGGCTTTTTGTGACCAATTTATTCAGCACTTACTTACAACACAGGATATAGAAAACAACAGAATTTGTTGGATTAAACAGACTGATTTGAAGGTGGATTTGGAGTCTGAAAAATACTGGATTGTAAAAGAGAAAAGTCTGAAAATTAATTTTTAAAATGCCAGAATATAAGAGTTATGTGCAAAATGATGTCACAATGGATTTATGAATGAAAACAATTTTAATAATGAAAAGGGCATAAAACAATAAATTATAAGAGTGACTTGAAAAAGCAATATATAGAAGATGGGGTACAAATAAATAAAACAAGGAAATTCTTTCTGAGAAGAGACAAAGAGAAACTGCTCAAGCTGTTCCAGGAAGGAAAACGCGAAACTGAAGAAATCAATTTATGGGACACTACTTAATGGGACTAAAAATCCAGTTTTTTAAAAATGAAAAAAAATATAATGTGAATCTGTTTAATAAGGGTTAAAATACATGTGTTGCAGTTTCTGGTAGCTGTTAATGGGATTTCTTTTTGTCCAGGATTGTATGACAAAGCTTTAAAGATTTCAGCATAAATAGGGAGAGATTGTATGATGCATTTTATGTAATTTGACTGTTGATAATAGATTACATATGGGAAGAAGAGTTTTGTTTTTTTGTTTTTTTTTAAATGAAGTGCTAGAGAAGGTCTTAAGTTAGCCAAATTATTTATACTTGTCGGGGGGGGGGAGGGCAAACAATCTTTTATATACCTTTTTATTTTTTTCACTTTTGTTCTTTTGTTTACTGTTTATATTTATCTTACTCTATATTTCTTTGTATTTGTAAACATTAATAATATTATTTTTTTAAAAAAATAAAGTCCCTTTGGCTTGTGCCATTCAGGATGAGAATAGTAGGGAAAGTATTTTTGTTCTGTTTTCTGTTCATCTAATATAAGTGGCAAATTATTAATACAAATTCCAGGTTTGCCCAAAGAGATGGGTGATCTTGTGATATTTTCTGCAAATGAAGAAGTTTTGGCTTTAGAGAATTCACAATTGTCTCCAATCCAGCCATTTATTTGCCCTGGAATTTCCACTTGTGGAACTCAAACATTAAATAACAGACTTCTGTATTAAAAGTGTTCAACTCCCATCAATGGAAGTCTTCTTCCTTAACTGAGGTATACCCATACTTAGGGTTACCATATCTGGATTAAAAAAAATCAGGCTGATTTCTAGATAATAACAGTAGATAAACCTCTAGGATTAATGATTCATTTGAAGGGGTAATTAGAATCAGATGGTTGAATTAATGGGATGATAATCAGATGTGAATGTTGGAGATTCTGAGTATTCACTATCAAAATCTGATCTTTACAACACAGGCATGTGGAAGTTTGTTATGGCTTGAACAAGAGAAATTACTGAAGACCTAAAAAATTCCGCTCCTAGTTGATACTTACCAGGCTGGAAAAGTTTGCAAAACTATTTCCAAAGAGTTTTAACTCTACCAGTGCACTGTCTGGCAGATTGTGTACACATGGAGGCAGTTCGGCACCACTGTTACCCTCTCTAGAAGTGGTTGACCAAGCAAGATCACACAAAGAGCAAAATATGTAATACTCTAGGGGGTCTCCAAAACTGTAGGGTAACAGATAGAATTAAAGGCATCTCTTGCATTGGTGAATGTCAATTTTTGTGACCACTGAAGAACAACGGAATGCATGGAAGGTTTGCAAGGAGAAAGCCACTGCTGTCCCAACAAATATTGCTGTCCTTTTACAGCTTGCAAAAGACCACGTGGATAAGCCCGATGGCTATCGGAAGAATTTTCTATGGATGGATGAAATCAAAACAGAACTTTTGTCTTGAGTGAAAAGAATTAGGTTTGGTGAAAGGCAAACAGTGCATTATAGCATAAGAAACCTATCCCATTGCTGAAACCTGGTGGTGGCAATGTCATAATTTGGGGTTGCTTTGCCATTCTGGAGCAGAACAGCTTGCTGTCGTTGATGGAACTATGAATTTTGAATTGTATTAGCAAATTCTACTGGAAAATGTCAGGGTATCTGTCAATGAACTGATTTCAAGACAAAATTTATCATGCAGCAAATCGATAGCCCAAACACAGGTGTATGACTGAAGAATGATAAAAGCAGAAGGAAATGATCAAATCAAAATTTTGACTTTAATCTTGGAGAAAAGTTGTGGAAGGACCTGAAGCAGACAGTTCATTCAATAGCCAACCAAGTTCCCCGAGTTGAAGCTGTTCTGCAAGGATGAATGAGCTAATATTCCTCAAAGCTGATACATAGGATTGATCAACAATTCTCGTTAATGTTTAGCTTCAGTGATTGCTGTACAAGGGCACACCTGTTATTAAAAAATACAAACACAAATATGTAGCTTTGGATCAATTTTTACAAATAAATAAACCAGTAAAATGTTTTTGACCCATTTGTTCAATTGAGTTCTCTTTATTTAATTTTAAGATGGAGAACAGATCAAATTGTATGTTGTATCTGTACAGAAATATAAAAATTCAGGAGCGTTTCACAAACTTTTAAACTGTATAGTTGAGACCTAAACTTTTCCTCCTGTTTGGTGAGCAAGTATGAGAAAGAATTGGATTGCTGTGTCCAGACTACATTAATCTGATATTTTTATTCCCTGTAGAAACATATTAGTTCCAGGTAATTATAGTACAATCTCATGTTCAGAGAATTACATGACTGCTACAAATCTAATTTTTAGTAAATGGTAAATGGTGAAAAGGATTTGCAGACAAAAATTATAATTTCATTTCCTGTGAAAAGATGAATCCTGATGTATCTTAATTCACAATTAGGAAAAATTTCTCAGCTCAATCTCAATGAATACTATATAAGATTTTATTGTTCTAAAGTTTTCTACCAGTAAAACTGGGTCATATTTCTGATCACATATGCTGATAAGAAACACTTGCTTATTAGAATCATTAAATAATACAGAAAGACAACAGTCTTTTAATTGATTTTGTTTGAATTCTGAAATAATGAATTCTATACTGAGAAAAAAGTGTTGTTCATAAAAATCCCTGTTGAATCTTTATTCATGAAATTCTTGTCAAAATATAATACATTCTTCAAAATAGCTTATTGATAACATTCATGCAAGAACATCATTCATGCTGATACACACATAAGTGCACACACATTTATTAAATGTATAATATTAAATAATTTAGGAATTATTGGTTCTATGTCCCCAGATGGTGTTCAAGGTAGAGCATTATTCTTGAACATTGTGCTATGAATCCCAATTAGACATCAAGTAGGAGCAGATTTGTACAAATGGGATCTGACAAATATCTTTACGTTGTCCCTTAAGCTGTACATGCTGAATAAGATAAGAGTAGTTGGGACCCTACGTGAATCAGTCAAAATCTAGTCAGTGATGAATTATAATTCATTATATCCATCCTGCCAAGAAAGAGCAGTAAGATTCTGAAAGTACCATTTCTATTGAAATTGTTACTTTTGCTTAGGATTTCTCAGCCTTAAATTTAGCATCAACTTATAATTTGTGAGTATCCCCAGTTCTAGTTTTGACAACTATTGACTAAAGCCAGCTAAACTAAAATGGAAAAAAATGCTGCTCGGAACAGCAAAAATATATGAAATGCTTCTTGCAAAAAAAAAAAAAAAAGAAGAAGAACAATGTAAATGTCTCTTCCTATGATAAATGGAACTATAACCAGAGAATAGGAGAAATTTATGATCTCTTATGAGTTCAGTTAAAAAGGTTTACATAAAAGCAATCTATTACCAGAATACATAAAAATTATTTATAAGCCAAAACAAAATAGCTAGGATGCTTTATCCAAAATAATTGCTTTCAGAAATATCATTTAAAAATAACATATTTAAAAGCATAGTTGGTTTTAATACAGTTTGATGAACATTGCTATATTGCTTTGTTTTATTTTTAGAATACTACATTTCAGGAAGAAATGAAAACAGTAAGAAATATAATTTCCAAGATTAATCATGTTCTAGTTCATCATTCACCAATCTTGATTATTCAGAGGTGGATCAGAGGATATTTAAGTAGAAAAAAGTTGTGGTAAGTTTATTTTTACGTAGTTTTAATCAGGTGAGTTTTTCATGTATCTAATTAAAGTTGCCATGTCAAATAATTATGAAGTAATCCTGAAGAGGTTTTAATTGAATATTTTAGAACTGAAAGATATAGTTGCTGATTCATTGATTAAGCATTTTGCTGTTGGTTATTTCAGTACTGTAACAATACAGTTTGAATTTCCCATTTTGGAAAGTGCACTGATTTTAATGGTTCTAGATTTACTTAAATTCTGAATACTTTCACCAATATTTTTGCAGCTGTATAAACTTATATATTATGAAATGTTTGTGCTGAAAAACCTGCTGCTATGACAAAGATATTCTAAAACTTAACTAACATACTTGGCCTCATTTTAAGATTGTATCTTTAAGTTTATTGTGAAAATTGAAACAAATTTGACATAGAATTGTTAATTAAATTATCATAAATGCAACGTAGGTGTCCCAGACATAATAGGTACTATAAAATTCTGCCACTTCTACTTAAAAGGATTTTTAAAGTTTTCCTTTTTTGTTCTCAGAGCAAATAAGTTGAAATTATTCATACAATTATTATTTTCATTTTTTGAGGTTTGCGCAATGTATACTTTTCTAAACTAGTTTATAAACCAATGTGTGAAGTTGCTGCAAACTGAATAGATTAATGCCTATAACAATTGTAACATGTGCCATTGTTTCTCAATAAAAAATATGAAAGTTACAGGTAGTGTCATTAGATATTTACAGATTTTTAAATTTAGTAAAAAAAAATTCAAATAACAACTAAATAATAACATTTCTGTTCACCAAAAACAAATGATTATTATTTTTTGTTACTGTGAGTTGGTCTATTATTATTAATACTGTATTTGTTATTAATTTAGAATTTGTTAGTAGTTTAGAATCTAAGCTGAAGCACAATAGAAACATTCATAATAAATAAATATTTTAATATCAGTACAGCTAAGGAAAATTTAAGCTTGTCTTACTTAAGAAATGGAGATAAAAGTGAAAGTAATGTCATGTGGACACAGCCAAAAAAAGGGGGGGGATATGTTTGTTTTATGTTTAGGTACAAGTGGGAAAAATTCTATATTAATAAAAATGTCTAAATTGTGAGTGAGAAACTCCCTAATTAAAATATTGTCTCTGCCACAAATATGTTAACAATATAATCCTTTATGTGCTTTCTCAGAAGGAAATTCCACTGAGTGCAGTAATATTGATTCCCGGGTAACTAAAATTACTTAAGATAGGAGCCTCAAGTGTCACCTGAGTGGTGTGACTAGCAGAATATATATCCATGGTTTGTTTATAATTAAGTACATTTGAAATTAAAAGATCCTTAGTTGTACCCAGAGCTAAATATAGGAAATATCCATATGCAACTCTTCTGATTAGTTTTAGCTAGATGTAGAGTAAATGATTTATGAGATAAAGTATTCAGAATCAACTAATATAAATTTTAGCAATACCAATAGCATTTAGACTTATGTACTGCCCCATAGTGATTTATAGCCCTCTCTAAGTGGTTTAGAGAGCCAACGCATTGTCCCCAGCAGTCTGGGTCCTCATTTTACCGACCTCGGAAGGATGGAAGGCTGAGTCAACCTTGAGCCCTAATAGGATCGAACTCCAGGCTGTGGGCAGAGTTAGCCTTCTAACCACTGCGTCACCAGGGCTCCTATCATTTTCTCATGAAATGGGACAGTTAAGCAGATAAAAAAATATAATTTAATATGTGAATTAATCAGTTCCATAATATTTTTCATGTTAACCTTAATTTTACAATCTCCTGTAATGCTCAAATTCATACCATCCTGAATATTTTTCCCTAAATGTTAACCTAATTTTAAATGTTGTAGACAGTTACTTTCAAGAAAGATAAATGCTAAACTTTGGTACAAATTGCTCCTTGTTTTTTTTTTTTTTTTTAAAGAGGATGATTTGAAAACCACACCAAAGAATGGGGGAGAGACATGGGCCACATATGTAAGCAGTGATTTCTTAGAACTTTTAGCATTAAATTTCAATAATAACCATTGCATTATGAGAAAAGAGACAGCCCTTCTAGTTGTAGTTACAACAAATAGGTCTCCAATTATGTTAGTGTATGAGCCAGGGCTTTTTTTCTCATAGAACACCCAGAACGGAGTTCCGGTACCTTTTTTGGATGGAACCTTGTAGGGTAGGCAAGGCGGGTTGTATGATGTGTGTGAGTTCTGGCACCTTTTTTTTTTTTTTTTAAAGAAAAAAAAGCACTGCTATGAGCAAATGCACTCTGCAGGCCTCAGCTGCATGTTTCTCTAATGCAGCAGTTAATGCTTGGTATTAATGTTTTTATTTATTCCAATTTATAGACATCCTGCTTTTACTATTTTTTTTTTCATAACTCAAGGCAATGAACGTATCCAGCCCATTTTTCTCCTCCTCTTTTCCCTCTCAACAACAACCCTATGCTTGGGCTGAGAGAGAGTGACTGGCCCAAGGTTACCCATCTGATTTTTTTTTTGCCATTTGATTAATGGAAGACAATTTTATAAAGTACACAGGGAGACATTTAATAAATGCAGTGTCATATAAATTATATTCAGCAAAAGTAGTCAAGCAAATTTCTAGCAGGCAGCATTGGCATTCCATTCTGGAGAATTTTTCTCAAATGTTATCTTAAAACATGAGCAAATGAATTCTTTAAAATCCCATTGTCCAATAAATATATATAAAATGAAGGGCCTGGCTCTCTTTTATATTCAGTATATCAAATATACCACTATTAAGTGAGGTTGTAACTTTACATTTCTGAAAATTTTCTAGAGTCAGGCAGAAGATTGAAGAGACTTGTTTTCAAATAGATAGAAACAGTAGCTACTGTCTGCTCCCCTCTGCTCCCTCACATTTCTGTTCTCCTGCTTCTCCTTTACCAATATTGTGAAGAAAGATATATAGGAATATCTAAAATGGAAGACTTGCCATTTCCTAAGCTTAATGATTTGTTTCGCTAAGCAGGTGGGAGGAACATTTCTCTTGCCATTATTGTTATTATTCAATTTGTTTTGGGGATGGAAAATAAGGATATGTCATTGCTGATGCTTTAAGCCTGATTCATAGATGTGTTTGGAAATGAAGGTCCTTTGGTTAGCATGCCTGTCTTGACATATTCACAAAAATCCCTATGTCAGTAGAAACAGTAGCAGAATATGCTTGCAGAAATTTCTATAAGCACTTCAAAGGATCTCCAGATGCGCCACTTTCTCAATAGAATCATGTTCTTTATGGATGCACCAGCCATTCAGCTAGCTTTGGCTGGATTTAGGATTGCTGTGCAAAGGTTTCTAAGTGATTAAAAGCAGGTGCAGTAGACAGAACTAATCATCTGTAAAGGACAGAGAAGATAGCAGAATGAGCCAATGGAAAGAAAAAAGGCCTTTGCTGCAGTTTTGCCTGCAATTAACTCCACTTTCTGAATTAAGCATTTTCAATAGAGTCATCTTCTTATGCATCTTTTTTTGATGTGATAAATGTGTGCTTGTCTCTAAATCTATAAATCTTATTGAAAATGGATGAAAACAAATAGTAACTTTATAAAATTAAGAATTTTAGTATTCTCTTTTCAATTTTTCTAAGGCTTATTTAGTACATCAATTATAATAGTGCTACCACATCTTGGCTGTAATAATCCTGATGACTACTACAGGGCAGAACAGAGTTTTATTAGGTGCTTATTTGCTGACTTATAATGGTCATCTAAATTGGTGCAGCACGGAGCTGGCTGTCTCAGATCATCTGATTTTTCTTGGTGGAAATCTGAAATTTGTTTTTGACATTTCCACCCTTTATGGGTTACTAAAACTGTTCAAATGTTTTAGGACGAACATTTAAGGCACTTTATTTCATTGATCACCACATAACCACACGAACACCTTTATAGTTGTGAACTTTTCAGTCATGACATCAAAGAGGTTTATGCCATATGAAATATAGAATCTACAAGTTCCTACGAGCCCAATTCTCTGATATGATCGCAGAAGAGGAGCAAAATATTAATATTGTTGATTTGATCGCAATGTTGTAATATATAAGTTTGATTTTCATTATTATTTGTGCCTGGCATTGTTTCCTATACCTGTAAATAAAACTTTTAATTTTGTATTGGTATTGTATTGCCAAAAAGCGGGAATGGGTGTAGTGACACCACACAATATGGAGCAACATGCACAGTGGTTTATTTTAAGTGTGACAAGGTGAAGAGAATGACTTACTGAAGTGTTATTATCGATATTAAAGTTGCCTGGGCCTTTTCAATGTGATATCTGAAAGAAAGTATATTCTTCAAGATACTCTGGATTTATGTACTGGGTGAACTATACCCCACAGCAGATGATGGTAAATTCATGCTCAGCATCATAATTTATAAGATGAAAAGCACTGACTTGTGCCTTTGTATTATTTGTACACAGATGGTGCTCTGTGAAGCATTCAGAAACCAAGCACACCACATCTGTCAAAATACTCTCCATCAGTTCCAGCATCTTATACCGAGTAAGATTAGAAAGGTTGTCAGTTTAGATCAATGAATCTCATACTGTGCTAGATTGGCTGGTCATTTGTATAGGGCCCAGGCAGCCCAACAAGCTCAGGAACTGCAAATATTTTTCTTTGTGGCGTTCAGGTAGACCTTCTTGGCAGTTCAAGAAAAGGAATCATTAAACCTGCCATAAGGCTGGACCACAGGGACATAACTTCTGAATCCTCTCCACTTTCAAACATATGTTGAAACTGCTGAGACACCAGGAAGAGGATAGGAAAGTACTGTGCAATAATGTGATAAGGTCTGAGGGATGGTCTGCAGGAGTGACTGAAGAAGCACCAGAGGCCGAGAAAGGGAGCTTAATGAATTAGAAAGAAGAAATAACAAACACAGCAGAGGTTGAAGCAGAGGTGTTACTGAAGTTCAGTGATAAACAGTGAAAAGTAACTGCATAATGATGCTGACTTTTGTGGGAAAGTCTTCCTTTAGCTAGCATACTTGAGATGCATTACAACTTCAGCCCCTTAGAATTGTTAGCCAGTTTGCAAATGTTAGAAATTGTAGTTCTAACATAGCTGGGGAGTAGCCAGATTCGTTTTCCTGAAGAGGCTTCTTGGAAAATTCAGAACATTTAAACAGAGAGCCATGTAATCACACTATAACTGCCTGTCTATATTTTGTATTGCTTGAAGTGAGGTTGAATGTTGACAACCATCTTGTTTGATAACACTCCATTATTTGGCAAGGAAAATGAAATACAACAATAAACTTGTCAAGCTATTATTCTGATGAAGAGTGACAGACAGTGCATTGTTTTGGCAGAAGGTCACATTTTCTTTAAGGAACTGACAATTTACTTGGTTTTTAACTAATATCTTCAGGTTGCTCTTTCCATGAGTCCAATGTACAGAAGAGGAGAGAGTACAGAAGATACATAATGCAAAATGCATGTCTTTACACGTTGGCACCATGCTGTGCATCTACAGACAATGTTGAAAACTTGAAATAGAAATGCAGCTCCTTCAATTTGCTTTTTTCTGCAGCTCTGGCACAACAGAAACATAACAGTGATTTTACAAGCACACATATTTTAAGACGGAAATAATAATCTTAATAGCATGCTTTCACACACATAATAATGGAATGTTTGTCCACTGTGCTAATTTGTTTAAAAAATTCATATTATTATTGTCCCTTCTCTCTCTGCATAATTTCACAAGAGAACACTTAGCTGCTAAATTGTTATGACCCTTTTAGGAAACAAGGTTATTTAAGTAAACGTTTCTGTGACCACTTGTGAACCTTTGGGCTGAAGCTAGATAAGTAAGATGATTATAAAGATAGTTAAAATTGATTTCCTAGCCACTGCGATATCGATCAAGGGAAGTGCCGGCATCACCCTCAAATCTGTATCAAGTTAAAATCTAAGTTGAAAAGTGTAATTCGCTTGGTCATTCTTAAAACAGCTCTGTAAAATGGATTATATTATTATCCATATTTTGAAATTGGGAAGAGAGGGAGACTGAAATGCTGGTCTGGCAAAGGCTAGCTAGTCAATATTATCCTATACTCTATAATAACCATCGGTACAGTTGCCATTTAATGAGACGCAGGAAGTGTGCATTCTCTGAAAAAAGTGCTTGGACATTGGAACAGCATTCCTGTGAATTTCAGAAGCCTTTGGCCTTCTTTAAGTCTTTAAAAACTAGATTCCCCCCCCCCCCGCTGCAGTCATAGGTTAGGACATTGGATGAGTTCATCTGGAAAAAGAATTTAATCTTTTGAATATGTTATAACTTAGGCTGCTGTTTATATATTTTTTTACATTCTGTTGTTATGATTCTTTTATGTTTATTATTTACTTTGTTTTGCTTTTAATCCCTTGTTAGCCTTCAGTTGCATTTCTTTCTTTTTTTAAAACAAATTTTATTGGATTTTTAATTCTTAAGACAAAGTGCTCAAGACATACTGTGGTGCTGGGGTAATCAAAAATCCAAAGACAAAACATATACAAATAACTCAATCAGTACATCAAATATTCCCTCTCTATTTCTTTCAAATAGCTTAATATATTTAAAATAATCTATTTCTAACTTACATTTCTATTAATCCTAAACCTGTTTTAGAGCTTTGTACAATTACAATACTATAATCAAATTTAACTTTAAATAACCACATTATCAATTCAGGCATCCCTTCCAAATACATCCTAATTCCTTAATTTTATCATAAATCTTGTTTATTTCTTCTTCCACTACTATCTCCCAATTAAAATAAAATATTGATCTATCCTATACATATCTAATCCATCCATCAATCAATTTCTTTAAACTGACAAAATAATATCAACCTTAAATCATTTAAGTCCATTAGACAAGGTTCTGATTTCAAACCTAATAACGTCCATATTATCATACAAACACATCATCCTATTAAAATAACATTCAATTAATTATTAATTCAGTCCCAATCTAAAACACCTCTTCAGTTTTCTTCATTCCATTACATAATAATTTTCATACAAATAAACCTATAATTCCAAAAAATACATTGTTTAATATATATATTCTAATAAGCACCCATTTTTCTTACTTCTAACTCAAGAACTTAGTCCTTAAATCTATCCATAGTTCTAAAATGCCTTAAATCCAGTATATATAATTTTAAGTTTCTCTTTTCAGTCTTATTCTAGACTTCTTTTAATGCCAAGAAGGTTTCCACAACAGAGCTTCCCTTTCAGCCTCTAGGTCTCTCTTTGTTGCTTGTAATACCATTTGAGACAGTAAGAAGCCTCCTGTCTTCTGCATTGGACCTCTATTTCTCTTATCCTTGATGCCTCGCTTCAGTTGCATTTCTAAGCTGGGCAGCTATACAAATTTTTAAAATAAATAAAAATCAGACACAAATGAAATTTGAACTAATGCCTGTAATATTCAGTGGGAGCTATGAGTAAATTTATAAAATAAATAGCTTTGAAAGCTGGCAAGATTATTGCATGAGGAAGTTTTAGTTATGCTGATATTCATATTTGATATTTCAACATACAATTGAAATGTCTTTCTAATTATAGGTCTTTGTACATTAGGCAAATACTATTCAGTTGAACTGCCAAATACTCCAGTTCTTGAATATACAATGCATGGTATGGTAGCATTATTTTAAGGAGGCATTTTTTTAGTTCCTATGTGTTATTATGAGATATATAAAATGGCTTTCAGTTTGATGGGGCCGCTTTTAAACAAGATTCTTGTATAGTCAGATGACTTACAAATTATGCAGCGGTTCATAAATTAGTAAGCTAAAAAAAGGTCAAATAAGGGCTTTTGCTATTGAATGCTGAGGACCTCAGCTGAAAATAAACCTCCCTAAAGAATAATGACAGGACATGGTTAGTGAATGAAATGTTCAGTGAATAATCTCCTTGAGGCAGTCTGGAGAAGAATAGTGCCAAGCCCCCTCATTTCCCATAAAGAGCATTTGTAAGTGAAGAGGCCTCCACTGTCAGAGGCTCATCTTTCTTTCACTAAGAGAAGGTCCTTTTCCTATGTTACTGCCAGGAGAAACAAGGCGTTGTGGATTATGTTTGGCTTCCACTCTCTCAGTATTTTGGACATCTACACAGGCATGATTTATGCCAGGGTTATGATTGTTAGATGGCTTTACTAATTATTTTACTCTTTATTGTATTTTGAGGCTTAACTTTGTATATTCTAGTTTTTATTTACATTTTGTTAAATTTTGCCTGGAGTGGCAGGCACAAGGTGGGAAATAAACATTGTATTTGAACTTAGAGTACTTAAGTAGCTTGAAACTTTAGATACTTTCTGAATTTGTAAATAACATTTGGAAACCGGAAGGCAGTTAATGCACACTTTTTCAAATATCTATGCCTAACCAGGAATTAAATATCCCCTGGAATAAGGTAATCATATGAACTTTAGCTTTCTTTTATGATGCATGTGGCAATCATTTTCACCAGAAACCTAGGGCTGACTTGCTATAGCTTTCCAATATCCTGTTTTACCATTTTCAAAGTACAGTCATTCATTCCTGATTTGATGGAAAATTCCTTATCTCAGGTTTTATCTCTACTGTTGAGATTAGTATCTGGGTAAGCATGTACGGTACAGGTAGTACATGCTTGTCCATACATATTTGTGTATGTGGGTGCAGGCACAAAGATGACAGGTTATCTTTGACTTATGTCTGCAATTGAGCTTGGAATTTCGGTTGTAAGTCATTGCGGTTGTTAAGTGTGTCACTACATGACTGGACCCAGGTTTGTGACATTTTTACCCAGCAGTCGTTAAGCAAATGCAGTGAACATTAAGTGAATGCCATGGTTGTTAAGCAACTCCACTATACCCAATGGGTGGGGTTTTTTTTGCCAGAAACTGGAACTAAATGCTGGAAACTGGCAAAAAACATTGAAAATCATAGTCATGTGACTGCGGTATGCTGCAAACAGGCATAAACGTTAGCTGGTGGCCAAGCACCCAAAATTTGATCATGTGACTGGAGGAAGGGAATGTGGCCATCGTCATTTCCAAATCAGGAAGGTCATAAGTACCTTTTGGGAGATCTGTTGTAATTTCATACAGTTGCTAAGTGACTGGACATAAGTCAAGGACTACCTGTAAGACATTCTCTTACAAAGCACACACGTGTTAAACATGAATTGTGTACTTTTTGCCCTGAATGGTTGTTTCGGCTAATTTTGGCCAAATAACCATTCTCCTTGTGTTGAGACATAGTGAATGAAATTTGTGGTAGAAATATAATTATTGGTATATGGATTAATGGAGGGCATTATATTAATATATATCAATGATATATAAATTAAAGCCAAATAAGTCATACATAGAATGACAGAGGTGCAGTACCCTATGGTCTATATTTGGACATTGAATAAACTTGCATAGAATTACATTAAACTACCGTATTTTCCGGCGTATAAGACGACTTTCTAAAGCACGTAAATCAGCGCCGAAGTCAGGGGTCGTCTTATATGCCGAGTCGTCTTATACACCGGAAATTATGGTAGTTTCCGGCATATAAGACGACTTTCTAGGCATGCAACTCAGCACCAAAGTCAGGGGTCATCTTATATGCTGAATCGTCCTATATGCCGGAAAATACGGTAATATTATGAGGTTGAAAGCAATTGTATCCAACTGAATTTTATAGAATAAAATTTTATCATGGTACTTTTGTCAGTAGCAGTTTGATGCAGTTTTTGATTTTGTGCATTCAATAATGTGATAATGTTTTGACAGGTAATTTTCTGGTTGTTTGCTTTAGAAAATATATGCAACAATCTGCAAGGAAAATGTATAAAAATGAAATACATATTACTTATATTGTTTTGAATGTACGTAATATTAATCCTGTTTTAACTCCTTGAAATAAAATTGTCAAACTACTTTTTAATAGCCTGAGTCCTATATCTGAAGTTCTGTGGTACAGCCGTTACATCAGAGGTAGAAAGAAGGAGCATACAACTTCTGTGGACACTAATAAAAGCCCTGTCTCTGAAACTGTTAAGCAAGAACAGCCTACAAGTTTTAAGAGAGGTACACCTGCAATCCAAGTAAGTATGCTATTTATGCTTTAATTTAGAAACTATAGTAATCTGCAATTTGCATATTGTTCCCAAAAAGTTGGTAGATCCAGGGAAAAGCATTAAAAATGTAGCAAAGCAATGCACAGTACTGATCAGAGTTCTTTTCTAGTGGAGTGTTCTGCTCCAATAAAACTAATTACCTGGAGTATGACAGTATGGAGGTAAATAGAGTTTCAGTCTATTTGGTTTTTTAGATAAAATATCTGTGGATAGACAATAGAAGGTAAATTATATAGGCTGGCCAAATATTTAGTGAAATATCTGGCTTTTCCCCCAGGTGTTAGGCATCCCCCAGATGCTGGTGAAGTCTAATATGTAACTTTTTGTGCTGTTAAGTTGATTGTTTAGTGCCTTGATTATTGCATAGTGATTATTTTTAATTGTATAATATTGCTTTTCTATATAATAGTTTTTCTTTTGTTTACTGCTTGATGACTTAGAAGTATATCCTTTTCATCGGTAATTTCTGGAGTAGATTGTGGTGTTGCTGTTAGATATGATGAAGCTTGATTTCAGCCAAGTATTTAATAAAGTACTCAAGACATTCTGATTAAGAACATAGATGAATGTGGGTTCTGTATTATGGTAATTAAGAGAAAACATAGATAGTTCAGATGTTATATTCTAAGGATACTCAACTATGTTTTTTCATCAAACTAGTGCAAACTTTAAGTGACATGCCAGAGAGTTAATTCTTGGCCCATATACTTACTATTTTATTAATGACTTGGATAGGTTTTTGAATGAAAAAACCTATATGGAATAGTTAATGCAGTAGAAAAGAGGAATAAGATGCAAAATCATCTTGCTAGGTTAAAGAAATAGAGTAATTGATCTGAAAACTTACTAAACAGAAATACAAAATAAGGTAATTAAATAACTTGAATGCACAGATATAGAATAACAAATCACTGATTTGTATTAGAATAGTAGCTAATTACAAAGTAAATATACATCAGTAATGTGTTATGGTGACAAAAAAGGGAAAAACTGTTGCATCAATAGAAGTATAGTTCATAGGCAACAACAAAGTAACAATTATATTTTATTCTGCTTTGATTAGAATTTATCTTTAATTTTATGTGCTATCCTGGTCACCTCAAATTAAGAAGGGTTTGGACAAAATGGGTCAGGCTCAGAAAAGCATGATCAAGGAGATAAAAACTAAGCCATATGTAGATAGCTTGAAGGAATTGGGAATGTTTAGAAGTTGAATAATTGCACCTAGTTTAAATCTGCTGATATCTGGATTGCATTTTTTTAATTAGCCAGTATAGCATCCTGGGGGGAAAAAAATTGAGAAAATTGAGAAAATGTTACTTTGAACTAACAGATGTAAACATATAATGTGGAATTCTGAAAAGCATAGTTAAGCACACTAGCATTATTTTATGTCTTAATTGATATTCTTTATTGAAATGAAATAATCCTGGCAGTCTGTTTGGATAAACTATTGGAACGAATTTCAGCACTGATGTGTCTAAATTACATTCAAAAGTAAGAGAAAATAATATTAAATCAAACTAGCTGCAATCTGTGTCAGATTGAATGGCTTGAAATAAAAAAGGCTTGTTCATTACTAGGAATTGCAATGATATATTTTAAATTGACATGCAATTACTTCGGTTGTGGGGAGCAACATCTGCTACTGCTTCCTATGATGATGGCCTATGGCTTTGCCATGTAAGTATCATCAAAGCCTGAATATATATTTCAGTAATACATCTCTATAAAACTCTTTTAGAAATGATATGTTCTTTTTTCTACAGCATCTTGATGCACTTAGCTATCAAACGTAGTTTCTCCTCCGTTATCTTCAGAATAACTCCTCTTTTTTTGTAACTTGGCATAAGCTGAACTATCAAACATACACATAGCATTTGGAATCATTGCACTCTTATTAATAAGACAACTAAATTTTTAAATACTGCCAATAAATATATGAATATTTATATTCCCTGCCTACAGGCTGATTGTCTTAACGTTCAAGGAATGATAGAAAAAAATAAAGTGTTATGGGAAGTCTTCTGGTTTATAGTGTCATTAGTAACAGTAACTGCTTTAACAAACTCACTAATGAACTCCACAAAATTACCTGTTTAAATTCTTAAATTTCCCTTGTATTTTGTGATTTTCCTCAACATTTCCATTCTGTGGAATGTTCTGAAACTACAAACTTGCTTCTGCACATGATTCTTTTACAATAACTAAATTGTTACAATGGTTTAGGGATAGCAAACGACACAGGATAATGTAAGAAATACTGTACAGCTGACACCATGCCATAACTTTGTATAGAAAGAAACTCTAAGTTGGGTCTTAGGGGGTTTCCTTATCAGTTAAAAACTATTTTGATTTTAAGGCTGTTCCTGTTGGTGCATAGCTTTGAGAGCTGACTTTTAGCTCCTAATTTCTTTGTCTTTGGAAAATCTCTATTCATGTTTTTCTTTTGCCTTACTTTGAATGGCACGAAAATACTTCTCTTATTTATGTTTGATTTTCCTTTTTTTTTTTTTTACTTTCCTGAACATTTAAAATAGTAAGATCTCTTGAGTGCTCCTTTTAAACAAAAGAACAACGGACGCCCGAAATATCCGGTATTGTTTACCAATTCACCTGTATTGGTTCAGACAAAAAATTAACCCAAACCTCTGTTCTCTGAGAGAGTACCTAAGCTCCATATGATTTTTAGGTTTCATCCTCCCATGTTCAAGGAGATAAAGCTAATGGAGGAAATCGATTCACTATTTGCTGTAAGGCTATCCCATCCCACTATTTTTTTTTTCATTGAGCGTTCAGTTATTGGAAAGAAACCAAAATGTGCTAAGGGAATACCATACTTACCTGGTAGGGGAGATAACGTAGACCCATTATATCCAAAGTCTTTCCCTTTTCAATGGGTATGTAATTTAGGTTGACTCATTCCATTGGTTTCAGTGTCAGGAAATTCCTTTTAAGAATAAATAACTAGGGTGAGAGGAATGGGAACACAACCCATTTCTTCTTCACTTGATTCATTCTGCCCCCAAGCATGCAGTTGGGCTTTGCTGACCTCAGAAACTCTTATCTTTTTTTTTTCAATATGGCAACTAAAAATTACTTTCTTTATTGGTTATAAACATTTATGTTAATTAAGTTGGTTAAATGATACTCTTCCCTTCCATGTCTTCCACTGATAAACGACTATAAAGGCTGAAATCTGCACTTAACTATAGCTTCTACTTGTAGATATGTGTAAACAGAGGTTTTCAACTCAAGCAGCTCTGAAGTTATTTTAAAATGCCCTAGGAGTAGCATATGCTTCTGCTCAGACTAAGAGCTTTTCTTGTTTATTTGCACAGATAAAGCTAAGGTGCCCTTGTCATGTACTCGCTGCAAAGAAATGCATCTTGGTGTAACAGATGATGAGTGAAAGGGTTGTTTAGTCTAAAAGCTGGAATTTATTCAAGGAGCAGAGAGGTGTGAGGTTGGAACAAGCAATCATTCATCCATGCAAACCATGATGCTGCCTAGAGAGACAAACAATTTTTCAAAAAAAGGACTAAAAATGAAGAAAAAGAATAGCATAATTCACAATGCATAATTTTGCTGCACTATTACATGTACAGTAATAAAGTTAATAAAAAAAATCTGTTGCTGTTTGAAAAATTCTGGCATTTTTCTCCCCCAGATCTTTAATGAATGAAATGTTGATTTTAACAGATTATAGACATGAACAATCTTAAAGAATTTCGTTTAACTTTAAGAAGATTAAAATATCCTGTTATCAGACTGGAAGAAAAGAAAAAGATTAAACAGAAGGAATCAAAGTCAACAAAGAAGGGTTAGTTACCTAACTTCTATAACAAGTGTCTTTTCTATAGTATGTACAGACTTCTGAATATTCTTTCACTTTGATGTCTGATAGTTATATTCACTTATTAATCCAATTTTTATCCATTTAAGATTGCTGTGTTTAAGCTTTAATGTTACATACAAATATTATCATGGAAGTGTAGGATAAAAAGACTAGATATATCAACATAACCAGCATTTTTAATGTGTAGTGTTTCAGGAAGGGGATCGTTAATACATTTTGCTTATAAAGTTATAAAAATTATAAAATTAGTTGGGACATATACTCAGAGTAGGGAATAAATTGGTGGACATAATTTAAATATTTTTATGTGAAATTACACTTTATGTGTAGGAGTCCTGATGGCACAGTTGTTAAAATGCAATATTGCAGACAAACTCTGCTCACAGTTGGGAGTTTGATCCTGACAGGCTTCAAGATTGATTTAGCCTTCCATCTTTCAGAGGTCAGCAAAATGAGGACCATGATTTTGAAGGCAATATTGTAAATTGTCCAAAAGTACAGTAAAGCAATATGGAGTAGTATATAAGTGCTATTGCTATGTCTTTATGAAGAACATCATAGATGCCTTTATAATGAGTGACATATTTCAAACCCAAGTCAAAAACATTTCTGTGTACTTTGGACAGCATCCATTATGTTGTGGCCCTCCCATTACCAGTAGAAATAAGGAGAAAAAAATGTTCCTTGGGTGTAAAACAGACAATTATGAAATGAAAAATGTGTGCTGTAAAGGCCATTTTTATCTCATAAATAAATGAATTCAAATCTAAGGTAATATGCGTAATTATAATTCTGAGCAACTCCTGATTTATTTGTGGAAAACAGAAACAAGAATTAGTATCCCTTTACACCTGTTCCTTACAACTTTGGCTGCTTACAGAAAATAAATGCATTACTATGGGTAGCTCATGCCACCTTTTGCTATTTTGAAAATCCGTGAAGATATTTTCCTCTGTTTTTGTGTCACACATGATAAATCCACTAACACACGAAACAGTGATAACATGATTCATTTCAAGAATGATATGAATTGTAAACTTCTATTCAGTTCTGGTACTTAGGAACATGTCAGAGATATTGGGCTGAATTTTCATAATCACTTCCTGCAGGTCCCTTGACCTAGTACGTTTTTTAATAGTATAAGAATATGCATATTTTGAGTCAGTCCTAATTCCTGGTGACTACATGGACAGATGCCTGCAGTTTTTATGGCAAGATTTTCAGAAGTGTCCTGCTGGACCTAAATCACCCAGCTAGTTTTGCACCTGTCTGAGGATGGCATCTTCAAACCCAGCATCTTTAATTACTACACCCGAGAGATTCCCTTGATTTGGAAATATATCAATCGGTGTACATATATTTTCCAATGTGTATTTATCTGCATATATTTGGAGATTTGGAGGAAAAGAGGAGAAAAGAGCCCATGTCTTTCAGTCTGTTACTCAGTTCTGTTAATATTGGCAATAGACTGGGAGTATGTGGCAGCTTCTTTATCTACATAAATAATTTTAAGAAAAAAAAATGCTGAATTATTTCTGATAGGAAACCTTGCTATAAGATGTATCATGATGGACAATAGCAGACAAAAATGTGTCACATATCTTGCATAAAAAGTTTTGTATTCTCCCTCATATATTTTATATTTAAATTATTTTTAGATGTAGATTTGATAGAACAAATGCTTCTTCTATTGTTTAAAATGCCTTCTTACCATAGGACAAACAAAAAAAATGTTAATTTACTTTTTATATAGAAGAAATGAAATGCAGTGTGTAATTTTAGTTATTTATATATTCATTTTCTGGTTTGTTTTTGCAGCAATGATGTAAAAAAAATTAGACTTGGCTTGCCACCAAATGGGACAGCTTCCCAGGTTATATTTGGCACCATCTGTTGCTAGGCACCTTTTCCTTACCCATGTTGATGCCATTGCACAACATTTCTGTTTTATTTTTCTTCCATTTTTTTCCACATGTCTTAATTAGTTTGTAATTCCATGTGGGGTTTTTTTTTATACTGTGTCTTGAATATAATTGTTAATTAACATTAAGGGGAAAACTTATTTATTAGAGGGGACCAGAAAGTAATTGCTGTTTTCTTTGTCTCACCAAGTTCTATTTATTTTCTATTTATCACCTGGACCTATGCATAAATTAAAAATAAAGTATGTAGGGCAGAGGTGTCACACTGCTGGCCTTTGGGCCGGATGCATCATAGTGAAACCATGCCCACCCCATTGCTGGCAATGGCAAAAAAGTCATGATATGTCGCGACACAACACATGACGTTGCAAGTTTGACACCCCTAATGTAGGGTATGAGAGCTTGGTAAAAATAATGGGAAAAAAAATCCTCAATGCATGCAGAGAATAGATAGCCATTACATGCTGTCTGAAATTTAAAATAAGTTTGATGAATCAGGACAGGCTTGGGCACAATAACATCTATTGCACTTTTACAACTCTAGGCCAGGACAATGGAGTGCTGACCCAAGGTCATTCAGCTTTAGCTTCTTTGAACAATTGCAACATATTTTTGTAAAGAAATATAAATATGTGTTTAGAAAAAAGAATACCCATCAAAGAGAGGTCAAAAGAAGAAAAGCTAAACACAAAGAGCAACTGCCTATGCTGGTACTATTATTTGAGTCACTTCAAAATGTTGCCCCAGTCACTTCATTTATTCTTCACAGTAGTTATAAATACAAATATACTTTGACCTTTAGATAGAATCACAGAATCACACAATTGGAAGGAACCTTGGAGTCTTCTAGTCCAACCCCTGCTCAGGCAGGAAACCCTATACCATTTCAGACAAATGGTTGTTCACTCTCTTCTTAAAAACCTCCAGTGTTAGAGCACCCACAACTTCTGAAGGACAGTCGTTTTACTGGTTAATTGTTCTCACTGTCACAAAATTTCTCCTTAGTTCTGGGTTGCTTCTCTCCTTGATTAGTTTCCATCCATTGTTTCTTCAGCTGCTTTGAAGAATATGTTGACCCCTTCTTTGTGGCAGCCCGAGATATTGGAACACTGCTATCATGTCACCCCTACTAGGTCTTCTTTTCATTAAACCAGATTTTCCCAATTCCTGTAACCGTTCTTTATATGTTTTAGCTTCCAGTCCCCTAATCATCTTTGTTGCTCTTCTCTGCACTCTTTGTAGAGTCTCAATATCTTTTTTACATCATGGCAATCAAAATTGGATGCAGTATTCCAAGTGTGGTCTTACCAGGGCATTAAAAAGTGGTATTAACACATCATGTGATCTTGAAGTGTTTTACTGCTTTTCTTTCTATAATCTGTTCTATATAATCATCACAATCTTAAGTCACAAGTACATTTTTTATTTTTATGCAAAGTCTTTTTTTGCCTATAATTTTTATTGAAATGTTTAAATAAAAAAATAAAAGCTATATTATCTTCTCTGCTTTTCTTTGACTTTCTTTTCTTGCACTTTTTGTTTTTTTGTTGATTTTTTCTTTTTTTTCCCTTCCTTTCTCTTAGTTTATGTTTTTAATCTTTTTAAAAAGTTTTAATAAAAATATATACAAAGTTTTGTCCCAAAGGTCACATGGGATTTGTTCTGATTATTTCTGATAAGAGTGGAAAAGGTGCCAGGATTAGAGACAAATATTTTTCCTTGCTTCCATTTATCCTCAAAGTAGCTTGCCAAAATTACTAATAGAGAAAGAGGAAATTATATCAAGATACCATCCAACTTTTGAGCACTGTTAATCTAGTAGGACAGGATTTTTCAGCCTTTTCAGCCATTGTACCACTTTTAGGATGTGGCAACATCCGAGTACCACCAGTCACCTAGCAAGGTGTCAAAAACTTGATGACAAAAAAAAGGAAAAAAGTGATAAAGTACAGGTAGTTTCGACTTACAACAGTTCACTTAGTGACTGTTCAAAGTTACAATGGTGTTGAAAAAAGTGCCCCCCCAAGGCACAGCTGAGCAAGACACCTGCCTGCCTGCCCAGCCGCGCTCTTCCTCCTGTCCGAAGTTTTCATTATTGTGAGCATTTCTGTTGAGGATTGGCAGTGGGAATGGGGTGGGGGTGTTTGGTTTTTATTCCCCCCATCTGCTGTGTGGTTGCAGCAGGTTTTGATCACTTCACATGACCCTGGGACTGTGACCATCATAAATATGAATCAGTTGCCAAGCATCTGAATGTAAATCACAAGACCCTGGAGATGCTGCAACATTCCAGCTGATCAGTGCTTCTTCTGGGCTCAGCAGAAGCACCAGGATCAGCACCGAGCTCCAGCTGGAGTCTGGCGCTGATCCTGGTGCTTCCACTGAGCCCTGACAGCCCTGCAGCTCCAGCCATCTCTCACTCAGGCTTGGGCAGTGCTGCCACCGATTCAGCTTATTCCCCTCCTCTGCTTCCACTTTTCTAGGATAGCCGCGTACCACCTGCTGGGTGCCAATGTACCACAGGTGGTACCCGTACCACTGCCGAAAAGCCCTATAGTAGGAGATGCAAGTCTGGAAATAGGCAAATAAAATTGAGAATTCAAGGATAAAGTTTACAATGTACATCTAGAACAGAATTACATTCTTAAATTGTGGACAAAATTATATAGTGGGTTCTTTTTTGTGGGTGATTCTAGAAAGGCCCCTGAGAACAGATTAAATGTTTCTTTTTTATAGATATATAATATACATGTATGTGTGTGCACGTGTGTGTTTGCAAGAAAGAGAAAAGAAAAGAAAAAATAGAAAAGAAAGAAAAAAGATACAAAGAAGTAGCTTCCAATCTTCTTTCCAGCAGTTATTAATTCAATTTAAATTTACTTCTTACTCTGGTAACAAGGGAGCGTTGTTCTTTTTATAAACTGTCCTGTCTAATCACCAAAACCATAAAGCATACATTCATTTTTTATTTTTCATGCAAATAATCTATCAGGTATTTTCAGCCAGCAATAAATTTGGATATTATCTTTTTTTCTGACCAAAATAATCAATTTAGCCTTCTCAGCAAGTTCCATCATCTTCAGCAATCATTCTTCCTTTCTGGATAGTGCTGAATTTTTCTATCTTTCTGCATACCATAAATTTGGCTACAATTATCAGGTACAAAAGCGCAGTTCCATAACATTTTTCCAACTGTTTGTCCATCGATATCAAAAGAAAACAAATCTAGTTTGGATTGTGTAGTAATCTTTAAAAGCCTATGAATCAGAATAGGTATTTGAATCCAGAAATTTCTAGTTTTTTTACACTTCTATCAAGCCCAATAAAATATCTTTTTTTATTATTCACATTTCCGGTATAAATTTGGAGTGCCTTTACTCAAATGTTTCTCACTTTTGAGACTTAGCCATTGCAATTTGTGAATGAATGTTGATGCTCAGGAACAAAGAAGTAATTAGCATGAAGCTTTTCAATCAATTAGAAGCTAAGAAAATAAATTAGAGTCACACACCTTTAAAAATGATTACAGATGGTTGCAGTTGTACCCAACTTTAAACAATGAAGTATATGTTTGATTAATTTGCTCCATTGGTTTCCGTGGGAGTTTATCACAAGACCTTTAACAGGTCCAGATTTTCATTACGTGACTGAGAGTACAAACAAATAAGCAATTCTGAATTTTCTCATTGGGCTACAGGTAGCTTTAACTTGCAGGACTGAATTTCACCAGTAATATAATTCTTTCCGGTCTCATTCATGCAACCCTAAAATCAATTGGAAGAATAACATTGCTTTTCCAATTGGATGTAGTTGTAATCAGGGTAATAAATAGCATATTGGCAATTTTAACAATCATTTTGTCACTATTTAATATCATTTTGTGATATAACAATATAACAATTGAATTGTTTCATATTAGATTTCATAGAGAGAGAAAAAAATGAAATGAAGATGGCAACTATGTGTAGACTTTCAGGATCTAAAATGCCTTTTTATTCTCTGAATGAACATCGGAAAATGTACAAAGAGAGAGAGAGAGAATTTTTTGATACTGCGCATGATATGCGTAACATCACACGTCCTGCACCACAAACTTTGCCAATGAATGAACTTGGCAGTATTGAAAAGAGAGTCTTTGCAAAAGCATATGGATCTGTAAGACTTCACCCTTTATATGCCATTGAAAAAGCATATTGGGAAAGTCAGAAGTTGGACCTGCAAGCAAAGAAGGAGCGAGATGTTATGCGGCTGTTGATTGATAAAAGCGAAGCTAAAGAATACATTCATCATTTACAAGAAGAAAAAATAGATAATGTTCAAAGGAATTATGAAAAGGGAAAGATGATGGATACAGTTCATTTTAAAAAGTCTGAAGAGGGAAAATCCAAGTTGATTATTAGGATGAGAAAAAAATATAATAATTTTTTAGAAAAGAAAGAAGGAAAGCTAATAGAAAACTCATTCATTCAGCGCTTTAGCACTCAACATACTTCTTTGACTAGAGGTTTATTAAAACTTGATGGGTGGAGAAAAAACGTGGAAATCCAAAATGAAAGAAAAAAAGTTCTAGAACGAATTAGACAAGAACAAAAAGAACGAAAAGAGGTGTATGGACATTTTCAGGAAGAAAGGTATGTCTGTTTTTTTTAATAAGCTTTGATATATGTATGTGTGTGTGTGTGTGTATGTATGTATATGTATATGTATATGTATGTATGTATGTGTATATGTATGTATATATATATGTATATAAAGTTTTAAAAATATTTATCTGATATCAAAATTCAGTTTCATTGAGGGAAACATCAACATTATGGTTGCCCTCAAAGGGCCAGATGGGCACGGATGGGTGGGCGTGGATGGGGGGTGTTGCCAGCTCAACGTGGCCAACTCAATGTCACTCACATTGAGGAATGCATGTGGGAGGCCAGGCAAGGCTGGGAGAGGGGGATCCAGAGGTCTCCATCAGAGGAAGGTGAGACCTGGATGAGCACCAAAGCATCGTCCACCAGAGAAGCCTCACTGTCCCCAAAGGAGAGTGAGCACTTGAGAAGCAGCCTTGAGGAGGAGGTAAGTATGGCCAGGCACCCCTCGGGGAAGCAAGTCTGGGCTGCAGATCCTGGTGCCCTGGGAGCTCGGTGCTTGCCCTCTGCTGCCCAGGGTCCAGGCAGCCTGGGGGATCAAGACTAACTGGGTGCTATGCTCCAAGGCTCAGGGTGCAGTCATCCTCCATAGGGTGGATCACATGTCATGGGTGCCTGGCCAATCCAGGCATGAGTGCCACATCCTTCTCTCCAGCTCTGCCACATGGTGGTGAGGGCCATGCCATATGGCATGCTTGGCTCATGCCACCCCACGCTCTTGTCTCTTTCATCCCATCAGCCAGGCAGCGGACAGGACCTAGCCCACGGGACAAAAGGTGGGGAGATGGGAGCATGGGGCAGTACAAGCTGAGTGTTAGTACGGGGCCGGCTCTGGGTCACCCTCTCCACTGTATGGCAGGGCCAGAGAGGGGAATATAACACTCATGCTGGATGCATAGCTGTGGTCCTGCCCAGCCCAGCTCCACTTCCCTGGGGAGGCACCCCCCAAACTTACATACTCCTCAAGACTGCTGCTGCTGTGCTTGCTCTCCTTGGCCAGGCTGGGCTTCCTGGGCTGGAGGAGAGTGGAGGGGCAGCATGATTCCTGCTGGGTGGGGTGGCTGCTGCTTAGCCTTTGCTGCCGCCATGGCGTGAAGCAAGGTGAGGCAAGGCAGGTGGTGGGGTGGAAGTGACCTGGCTGCAGGATCCCAAGGTGCTTAAGTGTGGTGCATGTAGGGTGTGACTGAGTGGGAGTGAAGGGTGGAAGGCGGGATTGGAGGGTGAGCTTCAAATGGCTAGAGGATGAGGTGAGCCTCAAAGAGCTAGAGGATGAGGTTGGATGGCAGAGGCTGAGTGGGCAGTGGTTGCAGTGTGGCAGTTACAGCGACCAGCTAGTCTGCCTCTCCATGCCCCCACCATCTGTCTTTACTTGCCCACGGTTGCTATGGCTGGGATGGGACGATGTCAGGGTGTCTGCCCAGCACATCTGAAGAGCTAGATTGTGTGCCTCCCCCGCACTTCTGCCTCTGCCTGCCATTTAAAGGCTGGACTGATGGCTGCAGTGCTACAAGGTTTGCAAGTACAGGGTATATGGGATGAAGCCGAACACAGGTTAATGGATGCACTGGCTCACCTCCAGCTGGCCGTTGCTGCTGGCCAATGAGCGGCTGAGGGGCCAATGAGCTGCAGCTGCTGCCAGGCACTGCCAGCCCCCTCATGCTCACCGCCTCTTATGCATGCGCCTGGCTAGGCTGGGGTGGGCCAGGGTTGGCAGGGGCCGGCCCCTTGTCATCTCCAGGGTGGCCCCGCAGGCCATATCTAAACCCACTGGAGGCCCGATTTGGCCAACAGCCATTGAGTTTGGCATGTCTGATCTAAGAGTTATTTTTAAGGATGATTCAAATAAATATGAATTATATATATGAAAATAGAAATGTCCATACTTAAATTACTCCTGAAAGAGTAATACCTAAGAAGCAATCATATAATTCCAAAAAACGAAATAGGATGAAGGAAAGGAAAGGAAAAAGGATTCACAGGCTAGGAGCTGAACCAGTTTTGTGAATGCAAAACATTTCCTGTGTCACTGAGCTTTGGGGAAATAATAATAAATAAAATAGATGGAAATAATACAGTATATGTCATTCATAGGAAATGTTTTTGTAATTCATACTGTTGGTATTGGCTTTATTTGCTTTTTTCGCATGGGTGAACAGCTTTCTCTCTGAAATCATAAAGAAAAATGAAATGTCCCCACTTTCACCCAACAGTGGCCCTGCAGGAAATGTATGTCAAGATGTCAGAAAAGCTTGCAATATTGGCGAATATCTGTAGTTCAGGTTTAGGAAGGGGGTAACAGTTCGTTCTTCAAGCTTATGGGTTGATTTACGGTTATTTTGTTACCAGGCTAGGTAACATCTTCAGCAGAGTTTAGGGGATGTCAGTGTATATAAGGGCTTCAGGTGTGGGTGTGTCAAGTGACAGTCTTGTGATGGGTCTTGTGATAGGTGTGAGTCATCAGTGGGAGTCTTACAATGGGTCTTGTTATGAAGAGGTTACATCAGGTCAGAGTCATTGGGAGGTGAAGTGCTTGTTGGGGGTGCTTCTGTGGGTTGGTTGAGGGTCGGTGCTGTCTCTGGTTGGCTGTGTGGTTGATTTGGATTCTGAGGGGATCGTAGGCTGGTTGTAGGTCGATGTGTCTGTTGATGGTATTGCTTGTGAAGTGCCAGGCTTTGATGAACTCAAGAGCGTGGTGGGTGGTAGTGTGGCCAATGATTTTTTGTGTTGTTCCAATCAAACTGGTGCTGTTTGGTGTCAGTGTGAATACAGATTAAGGATTTGGGATCATGGTGTTTGACTGCCAGCCGGTGTTCATGGATCCTGTTTTTTAATTGACGTGATGTCTGTCCACGAAGAATTGGTTGCAATGGTTATAGTTGATTTTGTATATTCATTGTTTCTTTCATCCTTCTGTACCTTGTCTTTGGTTCTCGATAATTCCTGGCAGAGTGTGACTGCGGGTTTGTGAGAATGAACTTTCAACCTCACCATAAAAGCTCTCTACATTTTTACATATGCATTGGGACATCTCATGTATGTAGCTAAAGGCCAGTTTGCATCCCAAGGCACGTTTTGTTGCTTTTTCCCTCTTTTCCTTACTGTCATGGACAAGTATGCACAGCACAAACATGACCATGTGTAAATATGCTAGGCTTATTTTGATGGAGAAAGGTTAAGTGATTGGCAGTGATTGGCAACAAAGGCAAGTTGGAGAGCGCTGATCGGAATAGTAAGGCTGGGTAGTTAGCACTGCAACTTTGGAAAGGCCCTAAGATATCCATAGAGCTTATACTTAAAATGTTTTTTGACAATTTTTTATCCTCCCAGGCAATATCTTAGGACAGAAGAATTTATATCCTTGGCAATAGCATTTTTATGTACACCATTGTTATTGTTTCCTATTTAATTCAATAAACAATCTTTAGTTTTATGTAGGAAAGCAAGGGTGTGTACAAAGGCCCATTGTTAAACTTAACATGCTTTTGGACTTGGAGACTGAGGAAACTGTTGTTCTGTTTTTAATTTCCTTGTACATGCTTATTGTATTATTTTGCTAGTACAGCTGACTAATTAATAATGAGATAATTAAATTATTTAAACAATGATGCTAAATATAGGAGTTAACTATTCACCCAGCATTGTATCTTATTGGTATATTTTATGGGTTTGATATGCTTTCTTATGAAACTAAAGTCACTGATGCAAAATATTGCTTATTGCTACTTTTATCAGGAAACTCTAATTATGTTTGCTTCAAAAGCTAGGTAAGACAGTGGATTATCCTTATTGAATGAAATATTTGTGGAGGACTATTTAGATTATTAAAAAATTAGATCTTAAGCAGGATTAATAAAATATTAAAATTTAAGCTGCTATAGGAATCTGTGTCTGTAATTCAGCTGGTTATTTCTTTGTCTTTGTGTATATTTGTATGTGGAGAGAGAGAGAGAGAGAGATGTTTTCTTTTTATGAATGGTACATTTATTTTAAAAAAAATGTATAAAAATACATTCTTTATGTAAGATAAGACAAGCCCAAAATATAACAACGTTAGGGCTTGGTAAATCATGTATTTTAGCCAGATTATCCAAAGATACCTAGGGCAACTATAAATAAAACCAAAAAAAACCAACTTTTATGGGAGCAGTTTATTTTTATGAGTCATATTTCATTTTTTTTTACTATTTTCTCTTAGTTCCTTGATTGGTTTATAGGTGTCGAAGTCTTCCCCCTACCCAGCCACAAACTGAAATTCTGGCCTCAGAATTAGTTACATTTCAGTTTGTCAAAAAAAAAAACAATAACAAACAGATTTAAGCCCATTTACACCTGAACAATGTTACTGTTTCAAAATTATGACATTAGAGACATGTGGGCAACTCTGTTGTTTTTGAGCAGATTTTCTTTTGCTTCATTAAGTCAGCGAATAATCTTTTGCTAAAATGTAATATGAACTGTCATTCTTTTTTCCTCTATTATCCTCTGCATGGGCTTATTCGATACAGCAGAAAAAATGTATGTTGGTTAAAAAATCTTTATTTGTTAGTTGTGTTTTGTAGGAAATTAATTAAATTAATGTCTATTGTTGCCAACATTTATTGTTGTCTTTACAGAAAGAAGTTAATGAAACACTTGATGCATAAAAAATCTAGCAAAGACTGTAAAAGTGAATTTAATTAACTGAAAATTATTATTTTTTTACATAGTTAATTACAGTTTGTTTTTAAAAAGGGAAAGGAATTGGAATGAGAGGAATGAGACATTAATTTTCAATTCTGACTGTTATATTCCCTCATTCAAGATTCAGATTATCATCTCCCTTCTTGACTAGTCTGCAGAAGTCTTTGAAAATTCTTCCTGCTGACCTGCCTGAATGGAGGGGACTGTGGCCCATGTAGAAAGAGGAAATGTTATGGAAAAATCAAGTGGAAGAATGGAATCCAGAACAACTTCCTTTTGGATGAAATATAATATATTCCACACGTAAAATAATATACCATTATATATCCCCTAGTTGATTATTTGTTTATTGTTTCTATAATAGCATTCTCAATACTTCAAATGCAAGTATAAACAATACATAAAATACTAACAAAAATAGCCCAGCCATACATTCTAAAATATTAAATATGTTTAACACTGCCTAGAGTTAGTATAAAATAAAGGCAACCTATAAATCTAATGATATTTATTTATTTGCCACATTTTTATAGCCTCCCATCTCAAAACAAGTCTGGATAACATGCAACTGATAAAATCATAGAAAAACAATAGAAAACCAATGGCAATAAAATCCCCCCAAAAGCCCTCGTGTGTAGCCACATTTCTTTAATGAATTCACGAATTCATGAATTCTCATCCTACCCTGGCATCACCCTATCCCAATGCCTGGAGAAAGAGTCAGTTTTTAAGTGCTCTCCAAGGGGATACAAGGGTAGAGGCTTGTCGTAACTCAGGGGAAAGGTATTTATAGGGCAGAGACTGTAACAAAAAAGAAATAGTAGACAAATATATAAGCACTTTTTAGCAGAACCAGAAATGGAATCTACAGTACAGGTGGACCCTGAGCATTAGTTCTCTGACTGCTTGATATTATGACAGGGAATTACAACCCATGCTCATAATTATGAATGTTGCAGCACCCTTACAGTCATGAGGTAAAAGTTAGGGTGTTTGGCAGCATGCCCACACTTAGCTCTGTAGCGGCATTGCAGCTCCTCCTCTCTGCCCATCTCTCCTCCCACATCTAGGCCACCCTGTATAGCAGCACTCAGTCGTAGCATTAGGCCAAGCAGAAGTAGAGTCATGCTGGCTCAGGAATTCTGGGAGTTGAAGTCCACGAGTCATAAAAGAGCCAAGGTTGCCTACCCCTGGCCCAGGCCTTAAGTTTAATTCTTGTGCCATTGCTATCATTGAGGAGTGCTGTTCTCCAAAGGCACACAAGTTTTGGGTAATGGCACAATTGTCTTTGTTGCCCAGTGTTCTCAAGCATCTGCCACGCACCACTTCCTGTACCATCACATATGTGCAGTCTATCCAATGCAGGACCTGGCTTTCTTTCCCAAAGCCACCTTGGAGCTTGAACTAGCAGGACTTTGGAAGTCTTCTGAAGCTTTGGATAGGCCGTGTTAGCTTCTCAACAGCCGGAGAAAAAAATGCCTGAATGCAGCAGATACTCAGAAGCACTGGGTGACAGGGTAATTGTGCCCTTGCCCAGGATGCATGCCCTACCCTGCTAAAACAGACCCGAGTTATTTTTAACCAACTTATTGCTGTCTGATTTGCTATATATGGGATATAGTAGAACAAATCGCTGTTAATAATAAAGTATCCTACATTTTAAAAAAAGTGTAAGTAGGAAAATTGCATTTCTAAAAAATTCTTAGAAAACTATAGTTAATACTACAGTGCCCATTCATTATATTCTATAATTATATATATTAGATAATGTTAATAATACATTAAGGTATGGTATCTGTTGTTTTTGATTGGGGATATTGAATATCATAGTATACGTTATTCATTATTTTATTAGTATCCTGATGAATAATCTTTGCCTGTTTGTAGTTACCTATGTTTTAGAGCTATTCTATAATGAGCAAAATAAAGTCGGGGGTCTTACGGCTTCTTTTATGTGACATAAAAATCATTGCTTAATTGATTTATTAAATGGAAAGTAAAAAAAGAACATACCAAGTCCAGTTTTTTTTCTTTTTACGAGCCTATAATCCCTTTTATCGGGGTGGAGTCGGAGTGACTGGATGGAGCTGAGCGTTTACTGGTCAGATGCCCTTCCTGATACCTATGCAGAGTTCACAGCAGATATTTATTCTTTGTGCCCTAATAGGGAAACATCTGCTGCTGCCTAGGATTGAACTCTCTCAACTTTTCGAGTGGGAGGCAAGCATCTTCACCTCTAGGCCACCGCACCACTCTAAGCTCAATAACAACAACAATAGAAAAGAGAGTTTTCAATATCTGAGTTAGAACTGGTAATAATTATGAATTCTTTTCCATTTCTCCCCCCCCCACCCAGGCAACAGATGTTACAAAAACAAAATGTTGAAGAGAAAATATTTAGGAAATATGTGACGCATGTAATGGCAAGGGAGAGATTTGAACAATCTAAGGCAAAACTTAAAGTGGTGAAGGAACCTCGTGTAAAATTATTGTATTCATTACCAGTTATTGGCAGTTCAGGCATTACTATGCCTATTGCAGAGTATGAGAACTAAGAAGGTAAGGAAAAATATGGAAAATGAGCATAAACCTAATTTTGACGTGTAGTTTAAATGTTTCAGATAAGAAAATTAATCAACTTCTAGCTAACCTTGTATATGTTTTTTCTAAAGCTGATTTTGACAGCACTCAGAAAAAAGAAGCTGATGATTAAATATAATACATAAATTCAAATATTTCAGCATTTCCAAATAAAGAAAACACAGCTGTAGCCTGTTGTGCTAATTGTTAGCAAATGTTGACTTTTAAGCAGCAAATATTTCAAGCATGCATACAATTACCTCTGTATTTAGCTTTAAAATTAAATTATTCAATGCCATATAAAAATAATTGAGGAAAAATTCATTGGTTGTTAATGCAGCCAAATAGCATGAGTGCAATTAAACATGTTAACTATACTTATTGCAGGCAGGACTATGGGAGCTTTGCCTCAGTGATTTCTTTGTAACTGTATATAGAACAATGCCATAAGCTATTAGCTCTGGATAGAATGTATTTTCAGTTGCTCTCTGGCTATGCCTAATGCAATAATTTGGTCCCAGCTGCTAACTTTCATTAACACGCTGTGTACTTTGATTAGTTTCATTAGCTGCTTTCCTATGTGTAATTAATTATGTTTCTCATTGATTCTACTTTAATTCTTTGTATATATATTTCTCCATGTGTGTCATGGACAGGAATGGAAAACTCAGCCAATTGCTAGGAGGTGTTTCCTTGCTTCACCTAATTCAGTCAACAACATATTTCCAATTTTACACAGCCATTTAAAGATCTCCACCCTTTTTTGATTGTGTCATTTTCTGTGCAGTACACTTTTCACAATTTAGATAATAATAATAATAATAATAATAATAATAATAATAATAATAATAATAGTAGTAGTAGTAGTAGTAGTAGTAGTAGTAGTAGTAAAGTTGGAAGGGACCTTGGAGGTCATCTAGTCCAACCTCCTGCTCAGGCAGGAAACCCTACACCATTTCGGACAAATGGCTGTCCAGTCTCTTCTTAAAAACTTCCAGTGTTGGAGCATTTACTGCTTCTGGAGGCAGGCTGTTCTACTGATTAATTGTTCTCACTGTCAGGAAGTTTGCCATAGGCATGATGAGATCTTCTCTTTTAATTATTATTTTGCCCTGTACATCCATATGGGATGCAGAGAATGGTGTTATAGAGAGCTGGGAGCAAGCTACACATTACATCACTCATGCATTAATGATCACATTTATTAAAAAATAAGTAAAAAAATAAATAAGCAGTTATCCTTATAGTCTGTTTCTAATTATGAATTGACACACAGAATAGTGAGAATTGATTACTTGTTACAATATTGTACTTGTGTTCAAATTTGTAACATCAATCAAATTTATATTAGCCAAGCCAAGTATCACTTTTTGAGATTCTTATCTCTGCCCAAATTTTCCTGCCAATTTTTCTTATTATATATTTCTTTTCTAAGCCTATAATGCCTTGAATTCCATTTATGCTCTGTAACAGTACAATATTCGGAAATGCATTCTATACTGTTTATTTTTAGGGTCATTCCCCTTCCCTCGCTCCCTCCTTCTCTCTCTCTCTCTCTCTCTCTCTCTCTCTCTCTCTCTCTCTATATATATATATATATATATATATATATATATGTATGTGTGTTTTCTGAGATTTTCACGGGTATTTGTATGTAGGTCTTTGGTTGTTCGGGTTTTCTCCCGCGTAAAATTGGAAGTGTCTTGGCGACGTTTCGACGAAGTCCCATTCGTCATCTTCAGGTTGGTGCTTTCAGCTTCGTGCTTTGAGCAGCAATGTGTGGTCTTAGCTGTTTATTCCTTTTAACTGCCAGTGGGGTATGAACTGATTGGGTGGGAGCTTGGCTGTGTTCTGATTGGGTGGAGGTGTGGTCTGAATGGTTAGGGGCTTGGCTGTGCTCTGATTGGTTGGGGGAGTGTTCTGTTTGGTTGTGCTCAGGTTAGTCTGAGTTGCAGAGGGGTTTAAGATTTTGGGCTGCCTTGCTATTTTCTGGCTTCGCGTTCGTGGTCGTGTCTCCTCTTCATTGAGGGTGTCAGTTTGCTTCATGTATGGATTGGAGGGGTTTAAAGTGGCTAATGATGCAGCTGTGGTCTGGCTTCTGGTTTGTGGTCGTGCCTCATAGTCAGTGTGGCTTTGGGTTTGTTTTTTGCGTGGATGTTTGGTGGTGACATCCTGTGTGGTTTTTGTGAGTGTGGGTCTGGTATCATTTTTTGTGTTAGTGAGTCGTTTGTCAATGAGGGCGGGTTTCCAAATGGCTGGTAGGCGGGAGGTATCATCTCGCTTGTTCATGCTGTGTGGGCGTTTTTCTATCTCGATGGCTTCTCTGATTATTCTGTTATTAAAATGTTCACTTTTGGCAATGGTTCTGGTATTTTTAAAGTCAATTTCATGTCCTGTGTCTTTAAGGTGTTGGACCAGGAAAGATGTTGGTTCCTCTTTTTTGACTGAGTTCTTATGTTCTTCAATGCGTGCACTTATTCTTCTGTTGGTTTGTCCGATGTATGTGGTGGGACAAGTGGTGCATGGGATTTCGTATACTCCTTGATTTTCTAATTCAATTTTATCTTTGGGGTTTCTAAGGATGGTGGATATTTTTCTGTTTGTGCAGAATGCTGTTTTGATGTTGTGTTTATGGAGGATCTTACTGATTCTGTCTGTGGTGCCTTTTATGTATGGGAGGAGGGCTTTGCCGTTTTCTTGTTCTTTGTCTTGGATTTTAGTGGGGGTTTCTTTTTGGATTAGGTTTGTAATCTTATTTCTATGGAATCCATTGGATGTTAGTACATTGGTGAGAGTGTGTAGTTCGGGTTTTAGGTGTTGTTCGTCAGCTAAGCGTTTTTTTCTGGAGATGAGTGTCTTGGCTACAGAGTTGATCTGTGCTGGGTGGTGGTGTGAGAGAGCGTGCAGATAGCGGTTTGTGTGTGTTTTCTTCTGGTAGATGGTGTGTCCTAGGGAGCCATTGGATTTCTTGTAGACTAAGACATCCAGGAAGGGAAGTTGGTTGTTAGCTTCTGTTTCCATGGTGAACTGTATTTTAGGGTGTAGGCTGTTGAGGTGTGTAAGGAAGTTGTCCAGTTTTTCTTTCCCATGTGTATATGTGTGTGTGTGTGTGTGTGTGTGTGTGTATGTGTATATGTGTATATGTATATATGTATATGTATGTATATATATATGTATGTATGTATATATGTATATATTCATTCAGATTCTGCAATGAAGCAATAATTTGTAGTTTGTTCCACAGGGAAAGTAGGATATTATTAAAACTTAGCCTTCTGTATGCTTTATGTATTGGAATATTACTCACATTTTGTTCACAATCTTCTCACAATGCAAAAGTGAATACATTTTTGTAAGCATATTTCTCCTCTGTCATCTGGAAGGCCTGCCAGAGTCCCACCAGGCAGTGCAGTTAATATCAACTCTCCAAAATTTCCACTCCACTTCACAGACTTGAGAAATGACTTAAGCTGTTTTATTGAAGACAAGAAAGAAGACATAGAGAAAATCTTATTTCCGAACAGGGGAATGAAGCTCTAGGTATTTGCATTGCAGGTTTAAATTGTAAGCTTCTTCCTACCATCTTTTTGAGGCAATGGATGTTCGAAAACTGGAGAATCCATTCCAACTTAATGGTTCTGTCTGGCAGAGAATCATTTGTTGCTGTCCTTCCAACCCCAGTCCTGGCCAAAGCTACAACAAAGAACCAGATCATTATTCCTTCTTGTTGGTGATGGTGAGGAAATAAGGCTAAGAAAAGGAAATAAGGCTAAGAAAACATATATATATATATATATATATATATATATATATATATATATGTTTTCTGAGGTTTTCGCGTGTGTTTGTATGTAGGTCTTTGGTTATTCAGGTTTTCTCCTGCGTCAAATTGGAAGTGTCTTGGCGACGTTTCGACGAAGTCCCATTCGTCATCTTCAGGCTGCTGTTTTCGGCTTCTTGCTTCCAGGAGCAATGTGTGATCGTAGCTGTTTCTTACTTTTAACTGCTAGTGGGGGTATGAACTGATTGGATGGGAGCTTGGCTGTGTTCTGATTGGGTGGAGGTATGTTCTGATTGGTTAGGGGCTTGGCTGTGCTCTGATTGGATGGGGGGTTGGCTGTGCTCTGATTGGATGGGGGAGTGTTCTGTTTGGGTGGGGGCTTTGTTGTGCTCGGGTTAGTCTGAGTTGCAGGGGGGTTTGAAATGGTGAGCTTCATTGCTGCTGTTTGGCTTTGTGTTCATGGTTGTGACTCGACCACAAACGCAACTACGAATGCAAAGCCAAACAACAGCAGTGAAGCTCACCATCTCAAATTTACCGTACGCTTTTTCTAATTCACCAAATATATGGAGAACATTTTTTCTCGCTTTCATAGTTAAATATTTAAAATCTATATTGTAATATATGTACATTATATGTTGAGCAAGTGTACATAATAGTCTGAGTATATAATGAGGAGTTAGTTATTTCCATGAAAGATAGAAGTACCTGTGGTGGAATTCATTTTGGTAAAGTGCTACATCTTTGACTGAAGAAAACGATCCCACACATATTTTACATGAAGGTTTACTCTTGCGTAGATAATTTTAGGCTTTGGATTCAGTGGTTTACAGAAGCTAATAACAATAGCCATATGCTTACCTTGGGAATAACTGCCATTTCACTGTAGTATTTTTTAAGGAAAAATTATGAAGGCATTATAATTTAATTATGCATATAACCAGCTAATGATTCTAATGATACATTTAAGAGGAGGAGAAGGAGGAGATTATATGGCAAACAATGAAAGCCCCATCATGTTTACTTCAGTCAGGCCTGATGGTTACTGTCATGTCTGAAACCCATTGTATTCTTTTTTCCCCTCTTCTTTCTTCTCTAAAAAGACACAGGAGATGTGAGAATATCTCCTTTGTGTTATCAGTCCCCAGAGAGATTACTAAATTATCATGAAAATATGCCGACAGTGGGCATGTTGGCTGATTCGATTCATTCAAAATCAATTCCCAGTTGACACAGAAATATAAGCTTTATTCAGTTAAGCAGTCCAGTTAAAGGAAAAGAAGGAAATCTGATTTTGCCTGCTATGTTTACCCTGAAAAAGTTTTTGATGAGATCAATAAAGGTGCATTATGCAAGCTAAGAATTTCACCATGTGCTGAAGGGCACATACTTTTCACAGATGATGTTTGTATTTATTTTCAGTGTAATTTTCCTTGTTCCAGGTAGTGATGTCCCAAATACCTCAGGATGTTGTCACGAGTCATCAAATCTAACCGTAATGGCCAGTGAGCAAGTCCTGTTGAACTCTGTGGGACTTATTTTAGAGTAGACATACCTGGGGTTGAGCTATAAACATTTATTACTACCTGCAGAGTTCAAACAGGCATTTTGCTTGAAAAGGAATCTCCAATTTCACCTCAAAGCACCAAAGACTTTAGTGTCTTTTTGACATTCCTCCAATATTTCATCTGAAAACAAATCTCTTCATTTTGCTTTGAACATCACTTTCAATGAGATTTTAGGACCAATCCTGTTTTTTTGAGATTCAGTATTATATATTATGTTCTTATTTAAAAACATGTAATATGATATAAAAGGATACAATCATGTCGTGTATTTTTAATCTTTGAATAATAAATTTACAGCAGAACTTTCCAGTAGATGGCAGCATCATTCAGTCTTTTTAAAAGGTGATACAGTGCTGAATAAAGGACAAAACAAAAATCTCATTTAATTGTGAAGGAAATGTTAATAGCTGTCCAGAAACATAGTCATTAAAATGCTGTTATAAAGGTATCCATGTTTGATGAAGCCACCAAATATTTGATTATTATTTGATTTTCCTATTAAGAAACACTTGGACAAATTGCAGGAAAATTTTGCTTGGCCCTTCTTGATAAAAATGAATCTTTGTTTGCCTGACTAGGCCTTTTCTTTCTTTTTAACCAGATGCAATATAACAAGGATGAACACAAAGGGACTAAGAATCTAGCTGATTTTTATAGATCAGATTTGCTTTAAAGATCGACCAGCAAGCTATGATGAATTGTTGTAGTTACCAACGGGAAGTATTTAATTCAGAGTCCATCGGAAAAATGGAATTTGAAAGATTCCTTTCCTTAAAGGGGAGAATATTTAAATAACTGAAATACAGCATTTTTTGTCTTTTCCCAGACTGCAACATTCTGCAAGCTTATGCTGCTTCTACTGTGAATTTCCATGCAATGAATTGTGGATGTGAAAAGGACTGATCACAAAGTAGAGCTTTCTAGTACAATCCGAGACAAAATAGAAATGTGTGTGCATAACACATTCTATTCCTTACACAAAAGCAGTAACACACTCTAGAAATATATGCCCTATGAAAATTGAAGGCAATGCTTTGGCTACCAGAAAGTCAAGAATAAATGGTTAAAAATCCTGTCATCTACAAATATAGTGTAACAAACAGATTTGTACCTCTTAGATCACAATCACCTCAGAATCAAATCTATGGCTAATAAACATATTCACACAATGAAAATCCAAGTTCTACCTCATAAGATTGGCCTCTGCAGTGAAAATGCAATTATTAATAACGCTATAAAGCTGAGAGTGGTTTTATTTTTGCTCATAGCAGTATTTCAGTCCACCTCACACTTTTGTTTTTCATGAAAAGAGCCAATAATGCTATGTAGTTTATGGTAGATAAGCCAGGATTTCACGTTTGAACTCTAGGATATATTAGAAATGAATTGACTTTTTTTTCCATTGCTGTATCTGGATATTTTCTCCAACCTTTTCTCCTCCTAAATCTAATTTTGGCTTTTAGCATACAATAACAGTTGTTGAAACGATTGAAAAACAAAATAGCAATCCTTTTATTATCCTTTGGGTAGAAAATCAGTCCAATTGTTTTCAACAATGAATGTTCTGGCATATTTTGGAAAGGCAATATGACTGTTTACCATGCACCTGTTCTTGGAAACACTGCTCAGAAACTATTGTTAGCATTAGGGCTGTGGCCTTGAGTGCGTAACATCCAGCAGTGTTGTAATTTGGTCATTGAAATTCCATATGTAATTACCCAGCAAAGGTGTGACTTGGAGACTTGCTTTATGCTTTACAAAGTATGCTTTTAAAAAAATATATTCTGGATTAGTCGCCTTCAGACCAACAAAAAGCTGTATTGCATTGCCAGCCTTTCAGTTTCCAAGAAGTCTTTGTTTCTATAGGACTTACACACCAGGTTCATTCTTCCTTTATCCTAGGGGTCTTCAAACTTGGCCCTTTTATGACTTGTGGACTTTAATTCCCAGAATTCCTCAGCCAGTGTGCCTGGCTGAGGAATTCTGGGAGATGAAGTCCATGAGTCATAAAAGGGCCAGGTTTGAAGACCCCTGCTTTATCCCTTTCTACATTTTCCTCCTTCAAATAGTAATTATCTTGTCAGATAAATAGTTCTTGAAAGCTGGCAACAATTTTTGGAAACCTTCAGCTAGGCTAATAAGAATATTGTTGCCTCTGTTTTTTTTAGAAAAAATCTTAGCCACCATAACATGATCACCATTTCATAACCAATTTTATTTATTCAGCACATCCATATGGGCTTTTTAAAAACCGTACAAAGTCCTTCCACTTGAAATGAAAAGATGTGAACTGGTACTGGTTAGATAGAAAACATTTTGTTATTACTTAGCTATGATTTTGGGGGGGCATAGTATTTTCCAACTCAGGTAGAACTGGTTGTCCACTGGTAGTTGGACATTTCATATGTGAAATGGTGGGGTTATTTTATAGCCTCATGTTACAAAGCAGCAGAAAATATAAAAGCAAATTAATTATCAATGTCAAATATTTGGAAGAGTATGGTTGGTGTGGAAGCACTGATTTAATCCCAGTGGCATTTTTGCTGCTTATTAGTTGAGCTCTGGGCATCCCAGTTCTGCATGTTGACAGCTCCAATTATGGGTGTTGCTAATGGGCTTGTGCTTGTGGCCTCCTAGCTCCCAATTCTCCTCCAGCACCTTTACAGAAATTTAAATAGGCAGTAAATGTATATTTATACAAATGAACACAAGTGACTCACTGTGAAAATAAACAGATGGGAAACTTGCTTCAAGGTCTGATATCAGCAGCATAGAGCCTGACATTTTAAAGGCAAGAACTCCTTGGTGAACCTACTTTTTCTCTGTAAAGTCAATAAAATATCACGACTATGTAGAGAGCTTATCAAATTGCTCAGCAAGAATTATATAAAGAAATACTCCAGCTAGTAATAAAATATATCATCTTTAAAGACTCTAAGGATGATGGCCAAACAGACCACTGTCATATATGCTGAATCCACAGTGGACAACCAGATACTTAGAGCAATTGGTGCAGGAGAATCCTAATTATATTTTCCAGTAACTGTTATGTCAAACAATCAGTATACTAAGAGATATATTGACTGCTTCCAGAGACACTGTAGTTGGGGTATAACTAAGTGGTCACAGATTGACTGTCCTTGATAAATTTGTCTAATTTTCTTCCAAGCTGGCAATTCTCCATCTTGTGTTAGGGAATGCCATCATTCAATTATGCACTTAGATTTCCTTTTGTGTGCCTCCACTCACCCCATATTCAAATTCACTAGATGCCTTTTGCCCTCACTTCTTGCTAATTTTAATGACATGACAACAACTAGGGTTATGCAGTGCTTTAGATTTAATGGGGAAAAATTGGGAAGGTGAACACAGCACCTGTTGCAGATTCACCAAAACAGCTCTATCAGTTTGTATTTATAGTTGAAGCAGAAATCTCCACACTGATAAACTGAAAAGATGTGGCTAATTAATGAGTCACACATAGTAGTTGCATTCATGCCCCCCACATGTTCTGAAGCAGCCTTTCCAGTCACAGAACAACTCTTAAGAAGCCCTTTGAAATAAGGGAGTTTAGTACCCCCAGCATTCAAATATATTTCTGTATATTTCCCTTTCCCAAACTGCTTTAATATACTTCTTGTCCTATAGTGCAGGGATCCCCAACCCCTGGTCTGCAGTCTGGTGCTGGTCTGCAACCTGTTGGGAACTGGACCGCGGAAGTGGTGGGCAACTGTGTGAGCGCATGAAGCTTTGTATGCATAAGCAGTGGGCATGCACGCAAAACCATCCCATCTCCCCACCAATGCCACTGCTGGTCCATGGAGCTGGAAAGGTTGTTAACCGATGCTATAGTGAACACTGTAACATACTGGGTTTCCCACATAAAGCTGTATTTAAAAACTTGATTAAATGATTAAGAATATGGGCTGCTTGTAATAGTATCAAAGTGATAATCAGTTGATTTTAAATTTATATCAATTGGTTTAAGCACCCGTACTATGCCCTAAGTTGAATGCAGACAAAAAAGTAGAAATATCACGCAAATATTATTAGTTTGTTTCTGTTGTTATTTAATATGTTGCTTCTCAAAGTATGTAAAGTATGCAAAACAATGCTAAAAGCTAAATATAGAAACAAACAAAGAGGAATAAATAAAACTAGGAGGCAAGGGGAAGAGAATCATCCACCATTCATATTAGAAAGTTTGGGTAAAGATACATAAACAAACAAACAAACATGCATGGGTTGGTTAAGGGTAATGAACTTCCACCCAGCTGATTTGGCTGTTCATGAACAAAGTGAACAAGATATGAGTTTCACATGAGAAAGTTTGATTAACTGATTAAGGACAATCAGCAGATCACTCAAAGAGAAATTGTTATCAAACTTAGCATTTCACAGAAATATGTGGATCGCATTATTGATATTTTCTGTTTTATTAAAATATCCCTATTACAACTAAAGTTATCTAAGTGGAGGTATTCATTGTCAAGCACCTTTGTGTATAAAACCACACTTTCCACCCAGATCGCAAATTTATCCAGGAAAATATTATCGACAAAACAAGATCAATAGCTACATTCTCTTTCCCATGGAAATCACCTAAGAGTGAAACAATCGCTAATGACATCAACTTTACTAATAATCTTGGAATTTCTTTTCACACTTCCCACCAAACAGTGTGAATGAAAATCTTACACCTTTGGGGGTTTAAATTAACGTCTTACGTAAAGTCTTTTTCTTAGTCCGAGGAGTGTATGCCATGCGTATATGTGACTAATCTCATGCTATAACTTTTGTCTTCTTCATCTCACGTGGCTCAACTTTCTTATTTTGTAACTGCTTGACAAAAGATTATTTCTAAAAAGCTTGAATGGCCTGGCTAATGTTTGTCCACATCTTTTCATGCTTAAAGTGAATCTTTTGCTGAACACAGAACAAAGTCATTCTAATTTTTGTTGTACAAAGTTTTTTTAAAATTTTTTTTCAAATTCATATGTTTTTTTCCTGTCTTTGCCCCATTTTTTTCTCCCATTTCCATATTCCATTCAAAGCAAGAACTCAGTGAGCTAATAATTGATCAGAATGAGCTTCATTGATGAAAACAGATTTGAACCTGAGTATTCTAGAATGACACTATAACACATAAATTCTGTAAGGCCCATCTGCCAATAGAAAATCACCATATTTTAATTTTAGTATATACACTGCTATAGAATTTTAGACACTCGTATCTCACTTCTTTCAAACCCGAACCCATGAATTCAGCAAACAGTTTTAGCCACATAACAATGGCTCCAGGAACTCATCCATAAACAGAGATAATAACACAGATCAAGTCTAATGGTGTTGTGAGAATTACTGCACATTATGGAGCACTCAGAATACACTACATATTTGCTACATGTTGCATTGCACATAGTGAGTTTGTGTCAGTATGGCAGCTGTCCAGCAGTAGTGGAATGGATCCAAATTCAGAGTATTGCACTTAGATCCCATTCAAGTTAATTTTCTTTTAAAGAATTGCATTTCAGATATGGTCCATATGGTTTTCATCAATTAGCAAGGAGGAAGGAAAGCAACAGTGCAGAATAGTGTGAATCTCTGAAAATTTCTCATCATAACTAAAAGTGCATCGCTAACATCTAAAAGTGACAACTTTTCATTATGATTGATATCTTTATGTTGAGCCTCATGGAATAGTTTGAACTTGTACTTTTGTTGCATTATTATAACTTAACACAATGTGCTTAAAGAAGCAAGAAATGAAACATTTCCCAATGTTCACATTATGGAGACCAGGTCATTGGAGGTGTAATGAAAGTTATTCTTGTGATATAAGGCTGTGTGATCAGGTGAATAATAGAACATTTCCTTATATATATTGCCTTGCTGAAAGCTGTCAATACTTTTAGATCATGAAAATGAAAAGACATACATTTTTCAAAAATGAAAAAAGTTGTGACTCATTTCTCAACCTAGCATTAATTCAGAGAAAATCAATAATGAAATATTATCAATTATTTGGGGGGACAACTAGTTCCATCTTTGGCTGTCTTCAGGCTATATTTCTTAAATGTTTTCTTACTCTGAAATTGGAGGAGGTGGCTTCAGGCTTACTGCACATTCAAAATCCAGGCCAAAAAATGATTTATAGCTTTTTAAAAGTGTTTGAAGGATGAGTCATGTGATCAATGGCATTTCCTATGAAAACAGTGGGTATTTGTATTCGCCCTTTAAGACTTCTTTAAATAAAAAGAAAAGTAGGCATCAGGTACTTTCACAACATGAATAAAAAAAAATGAAAATATAAGAAGACTTTTAAATACCATATCTCTGTATATCATACAAAAATGCCAAGAGGGATTTCAATTATAGCAAAGAGTGTCTGTCTGTCTACATAATCTATCTCCCCTAAAGAAGTATATAAAAATGCAAAAAAAATTAATAATACAAAGATTTGCTTTGAAAATATCAGTGACAAAGCTAAATACCACTCACGTACTGAGATGCTATTGTACTGCAAACCAGGTCATCTACCTGCGGGGCTGACTTTTGGTTACCCTTTTTGAATGTCTCCTATGATAGAAATACAAGCAATTCTCCTGCGTGCTCTGCTCTTTTGATCTGGAGCAAAGACTTTAAATTCTCACAACACTCTGTGGAATTCAGTGACAAAGATGTGCAAATGGCTACTTTGATTGTTTAAATATCAAAAATTGCGGGCCCATTTAGGACAGAACTGTGAAGAGATGGGCAGGGTTTTTGCACTTACAACATTGCTGTAGGCAACTGAGAATGCTGCTGTGAACTAAGGCGTCTCTTGGGCATCATCTTTGTAACAGATTTCAGAAGCTGAGGTAGTTTTGCATTTGTGTAATAAGAAAATGCCTGGGATATCCACAATAAATCAACAAGGCAATCAAAGCATCCTCTGTATAGATTTTATGGCTTCTTCAGTCTTATTTGATCTGTAGCTTGCTGTGGCATGAATTAAGTCAGGAGTCTTCAATCTCGGCCCTTTTATGACTCATGGACTTCAACTCCCAGAATTCCTCAGCCAGTGTGCCTGGCTGAGGAATTCTGGGAGTTGAAGTCCATAAGTCATAAAAGGGCCAAGTTTGAAGACCCCTGGATTAAGCTGATGAAGAAATGTCGTGCCCTGGAGACTCTTCCTCAGAATGAATAGTTGTAACTACATGATTAATCCCAATGAAAACAGAAAATGGCTTTACATCTGTTTATCTTTTTTCAAAGAGTAAAAACCTGGCCCTTTCCAGATGCTGCTAAATCAACTTTCAAAACTTTGGCATATCCAAAGATCAGAGTGGTAAATTGCAGTCCCTCTAAAATCTGGCAGGATAGAGGATTTTCACCCACGAGTAGACTGATTGGTCTGATTTCATGGTAGCAACCACCTTAAGTCATAAGTAACAAAGACCTTTCTTCTGTCTCTACTAATAGTAAATTTGGCTGAAAAAGTATTCCTTTTTCCTCTTGCTTTTTTTTTTCAAGCAATAAAACAAAACAGGAAGAAGCGCTGTGAATTGGAGAATCCTTATGAAACCATTCACTGTGAACAGACATTCAAGTTATAGTAATAAAACTAGGATTTTCCTTATTTTTAACACCTTTGCCTCCTTACATATAATGAAATACATTAATGTGTGCCTGTACATTCTTCAATCATTTGTTAGTTTAAAAAAATCAAGATGACAATCAAAACAATCAAAACCCTGGCCCTTTTTGGACTCATTAGATTCAGTCAGCTTCCGTAAAACTTTGTTTTGATTCAAAATAAGTGAGGGCTAAAAGTACTTCAATAGAAGGAGAAACTGACATCTGATTTTCAGCAATAGATGACTGACATGTGTAGATTGTCAACATCTGAGTTATTTTTAACAAAGAGGCAAACAAGAAAGCCTTTGATCAATATGCAAAGGTTTTGGAATTCTGTTTATAATTTTCCATTTCCAGGTGTTTTCCTCCCCTCTACCCTCATCTATCATTTTGAAATTAGTATGATTTTAAAATGTGATTATGTGTTCACATTTTAATGTACCAATGAATTTATTGATATGCTTTCTTATTGTTAATTTAGGTTAGCGTAATTAAGCTATTTTTAATCTGGTTCACAAGTCAGCAAAACCTGAAGTTTAGCCTAGTCGAATAAAGCACAACTCCCAATAACCCATAAAAAGAACCTTGAAGAGTCAATGAAGCATTTCTGCATAAGTTTTATGACAATTACTATTGTTAGCCTTTTTGGAAATGTTTCCGAGTCTTTTTTTTTTTTTTTTTTTTATAAAGCTTTTTCTTTTTCTCCTTGGAGTGAGGAATCATTGTTTCCCCTCTGCACGCTACATAAACCTCCACTGCAGCACACAACAGAATCATTGCTTGAAGTTCAACAGAAGTACCAAGAGCTTACGACTTCTCTCCCTTTTGCTTCTTAAAATTAGCGTTTGGCACAACAGTGGGCCGTTCCACTTCTGACATGGTTGTGCATGAAAGAAAAAGAAGTTAATTCCTTTTGATTTCCGCCAGTTAGTGTTAAACTTATGAGGCATGAAATCATCTAATTCTCAAGAATCCGGTTTCTGCAGAGCTCCCAACAGAAAACATTTCAGCATCAAACATATGGGCTTGTGTCTCACAAACCATAGGGACGTTTATTTACTGACACCTGGATTTGCTTGCCCTTGAAAGTATTCAGGATCTAAATTTTAAAGCTACAAGAATCATATTGGCTACAAATGAAATTGGTGGATGTCTTAATAATTACAAGGAATATACAAATGGCAAATCAAGAGAGTAAGTTGAATAACTTTCCCATATTGGATTTCCAAAAGAGACTTCTTAATGTTTTGAGAAATGTTGTGAAAAGAAACAAAGTTTATTCTTGTTTATATTTATTGTGGTAAAAGAGGAAGACACTCCTCTATATTTCCCTATCTCTACGCTTCTTTTCTTTACTATATTCTTATTTTTATTTCTTTTCTGTTTCTATTTTTATTTTTTCCTGGCCCTCTTACATCTTTCTTTTTTATTCTTTTATTTTTCTTAGTTGGTATTAGTTTTTATCTTTTTAATTGCAATGCTTAATACAATTATTATTTTAAAAAAAGAAAATTGAAGATATCAAAGGTAATATTTTCATGTTTTATTTGGGATCTTCAGTGTCTATGCTACCAGAATATGAGAGTTAGAGCAGATCAAAGAAACAGGTTTGGAGGCCTGTTATAAAAACCCAGTCCAATACCAATTAAAAAGAAAAACAAGAAATCCAAGAACAAACCAGCATGGTTGCACAAAGATCTCTCTGATAAACTGAAAGACAAAAAGGACAAGTACAAAAAATGAAAAGAGGGACACATAACTAAGGCAGAATAATAGCCCAAATCTGCAAAGATGAAGTCATGAAAGCTAAGGCTCAGAATGAACAAAGACAACAGTTTTAAATGTATTTATTATTTATTTACTTATTAAACCAATTTTTGTAGCCAAATTATAAACTAATATATAAATCAAATTGCATTGATTTAATTGAAACAATTACACCACCATATACAATACTTTGATATTTGCTGGAATTTCTTCAGCATTGTAACGCAGAGACAATTACCTTTGTCACAATTCTTGAGATTTTCTTGCTTTCTGAACGAAGGATCATTACCAAATAATGTAAGATGTTTTACTCCTTTGTTTTTGCTTAATATGTATGTTTTTTTTCTTGTGGAAGACCATCTTCACTTACTAATCAGTTTGTGTTTTAAAAAGAGTAATCTATTTTTTCCCACTTCAGAGCTGAAGATTCTAAACATCAGGATGACACCACAATGGGACCATCGTTATCTTGAGCAAATTTCAAGATGACATTACAATCCCTCTGAAATTAACTTTACACTGCAGTGTTATGAAGTGACATTCATTTTATTCTGGCAAAATGATGACATTAGCATCTAATTATCTTGAAGGGAATTCAGTATCAATCAACTTGTCTGTAATATGGCACAGCCTCCATTCTACCAGGTTTGAAGGTGGAGACCATCATGGTACAGGGGAATTAATACTTTTAACAAACCAGTCCTAAACATTTTTTCCTTGGATATTAATATGCTGAAATTTCAAAGTTATTAAGACTATGGGACTGACCCATTAACGCAGTGGTTCTCAATCTGTGTGTCGCGACCCCATTAGGGGTCGAACGACCATTTCACGGGGGTCGCCAAACAACGCAGTCCGCCATTTTTTCCCCTTTTCCTTAGCTGTGCTACTCCTGTGTGGGGCCCGCCGGGTGCCTTACTTCCCTTGGGCTGGGCCAGCTGGTGGTCGCCCTGTGCCATTGTTGCCCTTTGCCAGCTATGACTCGGCCGGCGCAGGGAGCAGCACCATGCATGCGTGACACTCCCGGGCAGGGAAAGTCCTCGACTTATGACTGGTTGGGTAGTCCTCGACTTACGAAAGGTTGAGAACCACTGCATTAATGTATCAGTCCATTTCATAATTATTAGTACGTATGTCATTCAATGGATTTTAACTTATTGTTTTATACATGATATAACTTCTGTCTGCATTAATGGAAATTAATGTGGATCTGAAATCAGATAGAAACTATTTCACACATTCAAACCACACATCCTTTTGATGTAGTATCAAATAGTAAGCTCTCTCTGTGTGAATACATTATTTCAACCAATAGAACTTCCAAATCAAATCAGGCAAGATGCTGTCTGTTGGGACAGTTTTCTCAACCTCATTAATTTTCGGAGGAATAGAGTTCAACTTCTAGCACTTGTTGGGACATTCTACACATTCAGCTCTGAGCCATAAACTGATGAGATATGATGTCAAGTGTGTGTGTTTTGTACGGATAAAAAAAAGTGGAATCTAAATGATTCCCACTTTATAAGTCCTAATTTGCACTGGTCAGCACTGAAGGGAAGTGATCTTTTCTAGTTAATAAATAACCAAGTCTCTACAAAATACCTAAGATTAAAATTGCCCAGCAAAAAGTTGGGACATAAGTTACTTGGTCCTTTCCCTATAGTCAGAATCATGAGTACTGTCACGGTTGAATTAAAGCTCCCACGGCTTTTAGGGAAGGGTCACCCTGTTTTCCATTGTACTTTGTTAAAGCCTGTTACAGAACTATCCTTGAGACTCATTCCCAAGAAGGGACCTGGTCCCATTCTTGTAGAAAGAGAATCTGGTCCCATTCTTGTAGAAAGAGAAACCCACTATGAGATAAAGTGCATTCTTGATTCTGGTCACAGGTGTCAAACTTGCCACATCATGTGACGTGTCACAACATATTGCAACTTTTTTCACATTGCCAGAGCTGGGGTGTGCTCTGAGAAGGTTACAAAATAAAATTTGAATAAGGAAAGGAAAGAAGAGATGGAGATGGCTTGGGAACCTGATACATATGTGGGTAGCAAGGAATGCATGGGGCAAGGATATGTGCAATTATAGCACTGTCCCCCCTTTTTTTATATATGTCACAAGCATATTAAAAAGGAGCTGGACTTTGATGCACAACTCCGCCTATCATCTTCACTTTTCTGACTCCTTAATGGACACCACTGGTAGCTATTTTAATAGAATCTTACAGTTTCATAACATGTTTTTTGAAGGATTTTCATAGCCCTAAAAAAAAAAACCACCCTCCATTGCTGACGTTATATGGACACATGCACTTAATTTTCTTGGCAGCAATATGGAAGTGGTTAGATGCACTGAGGTTAAAAGTTCTGCTAATTAGGCATTCTAATTTTGATTTTTACATAAAAGGCTACTCATTTGTTTATTTTTAGTAACTTCATAAATATATAAAGAAAACTAAAGGAAGATATTTTTGAAAACCTCTCAAAACTACTAGATGCACACTTCTGCCAAAGACAAGAAATTTTAATTATAAAATGATGATATGTGTTTTGTTGTTTCTGTGCATATTCTATGACACAACTATTTTTTAGTACTGTAAACAAATCTGTTGACTTAATAGGAAGA